ACACCGGAACAACGGAACACCGGAACACGGAACACCGGAACACTGGAACAGCATCATTCCGGAACACGGAACACCGGAACACTAAAAATTCTTAATTTGTTAAAAATTCGGAAAAAAAATCCCGGGGGTGTGAAAGTATTGCTGCAATAATTATTGCGTAAAACGTGCCTTTCTGACCGATAGCTACTAATAACGAACAGAAATCCTCGCAGAAATCAGTCTCAAAGTAATAAATATTTGCCCGAAAAATAGAAATCAAACCTAGAATTGTTATTTGTTGAGAATATTAAATGGCCCATCTTTGTTTGTTGTTGAAAACATGACAATCAAAATATTAAAGTAACAACAGTTGATTGGCTTCCTTGTTTTTACCGACTTAGCTACTCTTGAAGTGCAAAGGATAATTTTCAATTCTCGTTAGAAGTTGGTATTTTTAATAGCATCACTTTAATACAGACAGTTCTTTAATATTGATCCTTTCTCACACGAAATATTTTATAAGCGGCGATGGACAAAAAAACCCTTTACTCTTTAGCGTGTGATAATATAAACCTTTCGCTCAATTAAAATGACAAAAATACAAACAAATATAATTATAGGCCATGTAAGTTGTATATATAAATGATGTTTCAACGCATGCATGTGTGTCTATTCGTTCATGTTTAAACTGTAAATTAAACTGACACTCAGTGAGGGAATTTTAGTAAGAGGAAAAATCCTACGACTCTATCCGCGTTTTCGCTCGAGTTTTCGCTTGCTCTGAGATTCAATATTGTTGGCCGTCTATAATATGACATAGCATACCGAGCATACTAGCCTACATATAAGAAGGTCACACACGATGACGCGGTACTAGGCATATAGTCCTGACTCTTATATATATTATTATGGAGGTACTGACACAGTATAGGCTATAGCACGAGAGATTGCATACACTAAATTATTCCCTTTTACTTAGGATGCGCCAGTTTTATATTTATAAACAACAAGTATCTCTGCTGACATGTTTGTAAAATCAACTTGTTGTTTATAAATATAAAACTGGCACATCCTAAAAGGGAATAATTTAGTGTATGCAATCTTTCATGCTATAGCCTATACTGTGTCAGTACCTTCATAATGATATATATAGGAGTCAGGACTATATGCCTAGTACCACGTCGTCGTGAGCGACCTTCTTATATGTAGGCTAGTATGCTTGGTATGCTATGCCATATTATAGATGGCCAACAATATTGAATCTCAGAGCAAGCGAAAACTCGAGCGAAAACGCGGATAGAGTCGTACTAAAATTCCCTCACTGAGTGTCAGTTTAATTTACAGTTTAAACATGGACGAATAGACACACATGCATGCGTTGAAACATCATTTATATATACAACTTACATGTAACATAGCCTATAATTATATTTGTTTGTATTTTTGTCATTTCAATTGAGCGAAAGGTTTATATTATCACACGCTAAAGAGTAAAGGTTTTTTTTATCCATCGCCGCTTATAAAATATTTTGTGTGAGAAAGGATCAATATTAAAGAACTGTCTGTATTAAAGTGATGCTATTAAAATACTAACTTCGAACGAGAATTGAAAATTATCCTTTAGCACTTCAAGAGTAGCTAAGTCGGTAAAAACAAGGAAGCCAATCAACTGTTGTTACTTTAATATTTTGATTGTCATGTTTTCAACAACAAACAAAGATGGGCCATTTAATATTCTCAACAAATAACAATTCTAGGTTTGATTTCTAGTTTTCGGGCAAATATTTATTACTTTGGGACTGATTTCTGCCGAGGATTTCTGTTCGTTATTAGTAGCTATCGGAGTATTGGTCAGAAAGGCACGGTTTACGCAATGATTATTACAGTAATACTTTCACACACCCCACCCCCCCCCGCTATTTTTTTTCTGAATTTTTAACAAATTAAGAATTTTTAGTGTTCCGTGTTCCGGAATGATGTTGTTTAAACGGCTGGCCAAGTCATCATTTGTACAACTGGATGGCAACTTTATGTTAGAAGCTGGTAACAGGCATTTTCTTATAGTTCAAGCCTTGGTGAACAAGACTATATGTGTTACCACTTCTGATTTTTGCTTTATAGCCAAAAATTTGAGAATTTTAAAATTTTGCCTATTAAATTACTATGATCGGAAAAAATGTAAAATCTCATGTTCTCTTATACGAAAATAAACTATACCACTAGAAAGAGCGTAAAAAACTATATATAAGACAATCAAGTGAGTTCTACGTTTTTCCAATCCTATTTCGAGTTTTTAATGCTAAAAAATGCAGAAATGACCAAATTAATGCTAATTAGTACCCATTTTGCCAACTTTAACCATCTTTAATTCAAAATCGGCTTGAAAATCGCAATAGTCGCTTAATTGTCTTAGATATAGTTTTTTACGATCTTTCTAGTGGTATAGTTTATTTTTTGTATAAGAGAACATGAAATTTTACATTTTTTGCCATCTTAGTAATTTAATAGGCAAAATTTTAAAATTCTCAAATTTTTGGCTATAAAGCAAAAATCAGAAGTGGTAACCCCCACAATCTTATTCACCAAGGCCTGAACTATAATAAAATGCCTGTTACCAGCTTCTAACATAAAGTTGCCATCAAACTCTCTTTAGAGGCACTTTTTGCCATCTTGGCCGGCCGACTAGTTCTGGTGTTCCGTGTTCTGTTGTTCCGGTGTTCCTGGTTTTACTAATAGCCCCCCATTTGGCTAAAATTTGAAAGTTAACGGCAGCACCGTGGCAGCACCGTGGTAAAGGAAAAGACTGTTCAATTATTTATTTATTTTATTTTACAAGTTTGCCATTGCAATAGATCTATATAGAGTACTATGGTTACAAATGACTGGAATTTCAACCCAGAGATAGTTCTCCAATAACAGGGTTCCAAAAAAGAACAACTTATGGTATATCTAATTGTTTTAAAATTAAAGCAAACATAACAGTTAAACACAAATACAAGAAGACAAAGAAAACATATTGACGAACAAACAAACAAACAAAAACTAAATTTAGCAACATGTTCGAGTTGATAAGTTCATTAGTGGGCGAGTGGTGTGACATTTAGTACAAACAGACTTAAATGTTCTTGGATCTTCAGGATCATAAATTTGTTGGGTTAATTCTACGTAATATTTCATTAGATTACATTTAAATGTAGTTAGATGTGGGGATATTTCTTATGAAGCCCCGGGAAGCGTGTTCCACACATTAGCAGCTCTGATGTAAAAGCTGTTTTGAAAAGAAACAGTTTTACTTTTGGTTACATGAAGTAGGATGCTGTTGGTTCAACTAGTATTCCTTGTTTCTCGTGTAGGGATCTTTATAGATATGTTACTGTCAGAGTTATTTATAAGGCATTTGTGAAGATACACCACATCTAAATACTCGTGCCAGTAACATAGGGGGAGGATTCCGATGGTGGCCAATCATTTCTTATATGAGATAGATGTTTTGTACGGGAGCGAAAGAATAAATTTTGATGCACGTCGCTGCAACCGTTCCATCGTTAGGATGTTGTTGACAGTTTGGGGTGCCCATACTTGGCTACTGTAAGCTAGCTGGCTTCGAACGATAGTCAAGTACAGTATCTTTCAAACTCTTTTATTGTGGATGCCGGACGCTGTTCTCTTGACAAAACCCAGCATTTTGTTAGCTCTTGAGGATAAGTCCTGCACATGCTGGTTCCACTTCAGATCTTTGGTGATACTTAATAACTGTCTTTAAACGGCAGCATGGTAGTAAACGAGAAGACTGTTCAATTAATAACCATCTTTAAACAGAGCACGGTGGAAAGTGAGAAGACGGTTCAATTAATAACAGCAGGGTGAATAGGTTTTCAGATCATCGGATTTCACAGAAAAAATTGTTCGGATTTCGGATCTGGCGAATATTTTAGACGTATTTCCAGATCTTATTAATACAGCAGACTGCAGATTTATCTAATATTTTGGCTCAGATTGTGGATTTAGCTTGCAATTTAGTTTGGATCCTGGATTGTGACTTCATAGTAGAGCTTTTAGTGGATTCAAATTTAGATAAGACTTTTGTCAGATCGCGGATTTTGCTTCAAATTTGGGCAGATCGGCAGATATGTATACCCCTATTCACCCCTCCCAATAACCATCTTTAAACGGCAGCACGGTGGTAAATGAGAAGACTGTTGAATTAATAACAATCTTTAAACAGCAGCATGGAGGAAAGTGAGAAGACTTAAAGATGGTTATTAAATGAACAGTCTTGGGGGTACATTAGAATGGGAATACCAACATTAGTATGAACTTAAACCGATGGAATACAACGATCTTACTTGTTGGATTGATGGAGCTCCTGCCCCGGATGGATACATGAGGGCCCACACCCAGGGACGCCAGAACTGGGGGTGCAGAGGGGCAACTGCCCCTCTTGCCTTTTGCTAGGAGAGGCAAGGGGGGCAGAAGTGCCCTCTGGGTTGTAAAATACTACCTGATAAATCACATTTCCAGTGATGCTTTTTGGGCAAAATCATGAGGTGTGATAGTGAATGTGACCTGATTGAGTGTGTTTGCTTTCATTGGCAAGTCAACACATTATTGTAGGTTTATATCTTCACCAGGATCTATAGAGGTGCCCCTTTGGTGCGCGTTTGCCCGCCTTTGCCTTTTTATCGTTCCGGTGTCCTTGCCTACACCTCACAGAAGAATGAGGACCTTTTCTTTAATGATCATCAGCGTCTGGAGGAGTTTATTAGTAGAGAAGGATATAAAGTCTGTACCAGGTTATCACTACTTCAAGAAAGTCCTAGTTTTCATGGAAAATCACTTCGAAATTGGAAAGTGTTGGAAAGTCTTCGAATGTTGAGTATGTTAGACATTACTGTACTGCATTCTGTTCTGAATCAGACTGGGTGGGTTCAAAATGTACAGGAGCCGCGATGCTTCTGACAATGAAGATGTCGAGGCAATATTCACTACAACAAGATCTGGAAAGGTTGAAACTAACTGGGGAGCAAATAATTTCGTGAGTAATTTGTTTGTTTCATTATTTTTTAGTTAATCATTGGTGTTTTGAGCATTTTTGTATAAAAATTGGTATAATGATTTTGAGTAATGTTTTTCTTCTTTTTTTCTAGATCTGACCCAGATTTTCACCAAGGGCATATTAATAGTATTAACTACGCTAAATATTTCAATACAGACAATGGATTGCAATTTTATGTTTTTGGGGAGAGGGTGATTGGTTGGGTGTGCGGAAGGGGTGTAAAAGAAACATTTCCTTTGAGGGGGGTATTAAATATTTTCTGATGCTTTTTTTTTGGGGGGGGGGGGTTGCCAAATTTTATGGTAGTATTTTGGAATACCCCCAACCCCCAGTACACATACTTTATGACCGGGTCCTTAATTGAACAGTCGTCTTGTTTATCACCATGCTGAAGCTCTCATGACAAATGAGCAGGGTGCCACAGCCAACATCCGAATTTGTGTTCAGCACACTGAAATGAACAAATTTCAAGTAGAATGATATTGCCCTCGATTAGTTAGTGTTTTTCCTTCTATCTGCATGACTCTATATTTTGGTCCTAAAACTAATTCCAAAATTTACATCTTTTTGTGTTAATTTCTAAAGTAATATCTCCTGTTTGGCAGTTCTTACTTCTTACTGTGTAAACGATTCTGGCATTTTATTTATCATACTTGAAGTATTTAAGCTACCGCTGGACAGAAACACTGAGGGCTTGTTTCTTCCTGCGAAAAACAAACAAAATGGTGTTTTGTAAAAATCAGTTGATGATGACAGAAAAGCTTGTTGGACAAGCCCCACAAGAAAAATTGGACCAACATCCGGAAATGTGTTGAGGAGGTTTAGAAGAATATTTCTATCATAAAAAGAAATTACCCCTCGATCGGTGAGTAAACACTCATATTTCGACCTCTATCTGCCTGACTAAAAGTGTCACTGAGTGAATCCAAATAACGGGCTTTGTGACATTTGACACAAACAGTCTTGTATGTGTGCTGCAATTCTGGGTTATAAACAATAGAAGTTAATAAAAAATAGTAATAAATAGACAATGTTTAAACAAAGACAATAAAGTTAAGTTTCTTAAAGATATTGGTAGAGTTTTCCACATTCTGCATGCTCTGATATAAAACCTGTTTTGAAAGGTTACTGTTTTTCAATTAGTAATACGAAGGAGTGCTGATGTAGAGCTAGAGCATTGACGAATTAAGTTTCACATTTTTGTTGGAATTTTCGTTCGATCCAGGTATTTATGCCAGTAGGTAATTGGAAGAATTTTGAGCTTAGCAAGTTTTTTAGGGTATAAAATATCTAATTGAAGTGGAAGAGTTAACAAGAAAGTCGTGCTGAGACACTGAACTCATTCCAGGGTTTGAACGTCATAGGCGGTTTGGGGTGCCCACAGTTGGCCACAATAACCGAGCAGGCTTCTTACTAGGGTTAGGATACAGGGTCTTTCATACTTTAGGGTCCCTTGCATGAACACCCAATCTTTTTATGAACCCCAACATTTTGTTGGCCTTATTTGAGACTGCTTTGACATCAAGGCTCCACTTGAGATCTTTAGAGACTATAACACCAAGATCTTTTTTTTGTCGATTGTTTTAATTAAGTTGCCTTCACATTGTAAGAGTAATCGATTGGTTGGGAATTTCTTGTAATGTGAAGAAGACCACATTTACAGTGATTTAAACACATTTGCCACTCCTTGCACCAAGAGTCAATAGCATTTATGTCAGATTGCAAGACTTCCTCAGAACATTTAATGGGATAGTAATATTTAGAGTCATCCGCAAACAATGCCAATGATGAAGAACTTGAGACACAGTCGGGGGAAAATAATTTACATAAACCAAGAAAAGTAGTGGTTTGAGTATCGATCCCTGTGGCAGGCCAGATAAAACACGTAAGGGATTTGAGGTCTCACCAAGAACGGTTACCCTCTAATAGTGACCAGAAAGATAATCGCATAGTGAAGATAAACGATTACCAGAGATGCCAAAACGTTTAAAATTTCAAAAGCAGCAGTTCATGGTTTACTTTGTCAAATGCCTTGGAAAAGTCCAAGTACAATGTGTCTACTTGACACTTGTTATCTAGTTTGTTTCCAATGTTGTGTAACACTTGCAGGAGTTGACTAGCCCTTCAAGAAACCAAACTGCAGATGATGTAATTTTTCTCCAATGTGCTCAATAAGCCTGTTCTAGATATATCTCTCAAGTACCTTGGATACAAGTGATAGAGGTAAACAAGGTCGGTAATTGGTAACAGTGCTAGAAGACCCACTCTTTGGGATTAGCGTGATGTTGGAGAGTTTCCATTCTTTTGGCAACTTAACAACACACAATGTTTTAAGAAAAGGTCAGCAAGAGACGAGCAAATACTGCAAGCACAGTGTCTGAAAAGTGTGGCTGGAATTCTGTCAGGTCCTGTTGCTTTATTCTGATCTGGTGTGCAGAGACATTCGTAAACTTCCTCAGGCGTAATAACCGATATCCGGAAGTTTGTCAATTGTATTATGGTTTTCTTGATCAAGGTGACGATGTGAATTGTGGCATTTGGCAGTGTTAAGGACTGAGAAAAAGGAACAGTTGAATACATTTGCAATACCTGTAGGGTTGTCAGCAGCAATATGCATTGTAGGATCTTTAGACCAAGAAACTTAAAAACAGACCAAAACTTTTTGCTACTTGTTTTCAAGAGATCAGGCAAATTTAGAAAGAATTTTTTTATGTTTGTCATGCAACAATGATTTGACTTGAAGCCTTAGAGTTCGAAACTTTTCAGGCGTTGTTTCCACACAATTTCTCGTTTTCCCAATTTCCACTTATAGTGTCGACTTTGTAGTTACAAGTACACATTTAGAGAAATAAAAGAATATAATATTGGCGACGAGACATTGAACCTATGGCAGCTTTGCAACTTCCCACTCTAGCACCCTTCTCCATGTTATCTGACAGTGCTACGCTCAGTCGACATTGGACAAAATGGGTTAAAAGTTTCAAATATTTTCTGGTTGCTTCGAACGTGACAGACAAGAAACGACAACAGGCATTATTGTTGCATTTAGCTGAACCAGAAGTACAAGAATTTTTCGAAACACTAAGTGGACACAGGAGATGTCTAAGTCACTGCCCTCGAAAAGTTGGATGCCTACTTCAAACCACAACAGAATATCCCGTTTGAAGCCATATGTTTAGACAAGCCACCCAAGACCCCTTGGAAACGATGGATACATACACTGCTAGACTCAAACGGTAGTACAAACCTGAAATTATGGTACCTACAACGAAATGATTTGCGATCAAGTCCTAGAGAAATGTTATTCGTTGGTCACTTCGTGAAGAAACCCTTACCCTCGATGTTATTTTATGCATTGCTAGAGCCCTCGAAGCATCTGATCACCAAGCACAGCAAATCGAAGGCACCAACAATTCTGAGAGCGATGCTGAGATGATGTTATTTAACCTCGATCAAATACCAGTAGAGAATTCATTCAGAGCGTCCTGCAGCTAGCCGACAGCATCAAGACTCGCCGTCAGACAATCGACTTCTCAAACAAGCTTGTTATTAATTTTTTCTGTGTTGGTGTAGTGTACTCAGGTGAATATGATATTTGTGGTGTTACTCTGAGTGCATATCCACACCGGGCGAGCCTGAAAAATATGCCCGGCCACGGTGGGATTTGAACCTACGACCTTTGGAATACTAGCCCAATGCTCTTCCAACTGAGCTATGCGGTCAGGACGGTTCGAGTAAGTGATATTTCAAAGGTCGTATGTTTGAATTTCCAAAGGTCGTAGGTTTGAATCCCACCGTGGCTGGGCATATTTTTCAGGCTCGCCCGGTGTGGATATGCACTCAGAGTAACACCACAAATATCATATTCACCTGAGTACACTACACCAACACAGAAAAAATTCATATTACTAGAATACATTGGTATTGAAGGAACTAGATTCTGTTCTGAAATATCACTTGGGGTAACACATATTCCACCACACTTAAACCACTTATTATACTTCAAAAGAAAGCCATGTGTGTTATCACCTTTTCTCGCTTTGATGAACACTCAAGTCCTCTTTTTAAGCGCCTCCAAATCTTAAAGTTCACCCATCTCATTACATTACGTATGACCATGTTTATGTACAAATATCATCGACAACTCTTGCCCTCGAGTTTACATGATCTCTTTACTCCTGTCTATCAAATACATTCATATAATACTAGACTTTCATCAAATCTTTGTTTTTCTTTGCCGAAAATAAGAACAAATTTTGGATTATTTAATATTAGATATCAGGGAGTGAAAGCATGGAATGTGCTGAGTGAAGCTGATAAACAGATGACATTTTTACAACTTAAGAGATAAATTAAAGCTGCTTTTATTAATCAGTATTAATTTTTTCTTTATTCCTAAAAATGATTGTCTTTTCTTTACATTTCTCATTTTTCTTTATGCTTTAAAAAATCGTAATTATTGTAAGATCAATCTTACAATTATTGATTAATTGTGCTACTTGGCCCCCAGTCTTTTAGCCTTATGGTTATTTTGGGGTGTCAGCTCCTTTATTTTAATTAAATAAATAAGTAACATTAATAGTAAAAAAGGAATAATGTAAAACAAAAAATGTAATTGTGTGATTATTACGGAGCAATAAATTGTCTTGTCTTGTCTTACTCGAACCGTCCTGACCGCGTAGCTCAGTTGGAAGAGCATTGGGCTAGTATTCCAAAGGTCGTAGGTTCGAATCCCACCGTGGCCGGGCATATTTTTCAGGCTCGCCAAGCTTGTTATTGTTGTGGTCGTGACAGTCATCGAGCAAAAGATGCTTTGTGTCCAGCCAATAACAAAGCATGCAATAAGTGTGGAAAACTTGGACATTTTGGTCGTGTTTGTAAGAGCTCCAGGCATCCAGAACAACCCGAAAGAGTTCTCCACATTAAGCAGCGAGAGAACAACAACTTTTCTGACGATGACGAATATGTATTTACATTGAATGGCCCAAAGAACAGCGAGCAACAGACCAGTGTCACGATCACTGTGTATGGCACAGATATTCCAGTGATAATTGACTCGGGAGCCAGTGTGAATGTTCTGACACACTTTCCATTGTCTTTATAATGGACCCAAAAACACTATAAAACTCTCAGATTCTTGTGTAAAGTTGTTTTCCTATGGAACTGTCACACTATTTCTGGTACTGGGGAAATTTGATGCCATGGTTACGATTCCAGCTGTTTCTGGTGAAACAGCCTCGTCTACCAATGCCCAATTTATCGTGGTGAATACAATCGACTCAGACTGTTACTTTGAAAGTCTACAGAAATTGCTCTTGGTTTATTGAGAGTCGGACTACTTTCTGGAACTACTCTTAATGCTGTAACAATGCAAAGTGATGTTGAATTCATACTTTCTAAGTATCCAACAGTGTTCAGTGGGGAAGGTAAGCTTAACAATTACCAATTGAAAGTGCATGTGAACCCTGATATCCCTCCAGTTGCCCAGCCACCTAGATGGGTAGCTTTCCACATATGTAAAGTTGTAGACAAGAAGCTTAGAGAGCTTGAGGAACTTGATATTATCGAGTCGGTCTAGGGTTTCACTCTGGTTTTCTCCCTGGGTTTCACCCTGGGTTTCACCTTTAGTCACAGTCCCTCAGGCAAATGGTGAAGTGTGCATCTGTGTTTATATGTGGCGAGCAAGTCCTTTGCTCTCGCGTGCTTTTAACGATAGTTTTACAGTTCATTTGGGCCTTGAATATATATTGAGTTCAGGAATATTATTATCCTCTGACTCACTAGTTTCTCTTTGCACGATAGGTTTTTCTGGCAGTGGAACCAATTGAACACGGTTGTGTTTAATAACACCAGTTGGAGTATCAACTTCATACTGTCGTGGACTTCCATACTAGTCTTTACAACACCATTTTCTGGGTGGGTAGAAATATGAACTTCAGTTCCTTGAGGTATTTGTTTAAGTGGCATTGCACATTGTAGGGTATTGAAGTACTTCTGTTGTTGTAGTTTGGACTGAGCTTCGTGTTCTTGTTGCTTAATAAGATCGGGCCACTTCGGTGTTAACAATTTATGGAATGTTGGTACCATTGTACGAATCTTCCTTCCCATCAGCAACTCGGCAGGGGAATATCCACAGGATAACGGTGTAGATCAGTAAGCTAGCAAAGCTTTTTCTTTCTCTTTCTTGAGGAGTCTCTTTATGGTTTGTACGGCTCGTTCTACTTCACCATTTGACTGAGGGTACTTCGGACTGCTGTGACGAACTTCAAATCCCCACTCATTCGCGAAATGGAGGTACTTGCCGCTATCGAAAGGGGGTCCATTATCTGATTTAACTCTCTCCAGAATACCATGTCGCAAGAAAATGGACTTCAGGACTCTGCAAACTTCAGTGGCTGTCTTATTCTTGCATTCAATGAGCTAAAAAACAGTTTGACTAGTGACTGCGTAATGGCTCACTATAACCCTGAAGCAGAAACTGAGCTTAGGGTGGCTGCCAGTCCAGTTGGGTTAGGCACCATCCTAATGCAGTCCCATGGCCAAGAGCCACGCCCTGTTGCATATGTGTCTAGAACTCTCACCGATGTTGAGGGTGTGAAAAGTTCCACCTGTATCTTTATGGCATTACGTTTTAAACTTTTCACTGACCACAAGAGTTTATTTATAGCCCGAAGGGAAAACCAGATCCACATATAGAGCGGTGGGTTCTTCATCTTCAGCCATATCATTTTAAAATGGTCCACATGCCAGGCAAGACAAACCCTACAGATGTTCTGTCCTGTTTGCCTATTAGTGCCCAGCCCACCCGTGAACGGAGTGTAGCTGAAGAATACATCAATTTTATTACAGAGAAATCAGTTCCTATTTACAGAGAAATCAGTTAAGTATAGTAATGTAACAGTTAAGTATAGTAAATTTGCCAACAAGATTAAGCTTATCTCCAGTGTAGCTTGTCAATGAGGTCCTTGATGCCTGAATTGGTTCTTTAGGCCCTTTCAATTCTCGGTACATCGACATGGGAATTATGTTCGTTTGAGATCCTGTGTCAACTTTAAACTTGATCGGTGTTTCATTAATCTCTAGAGTTATAAAACACTCGTCTTTCGTCAATTCTGTTTTAGTCAACTGTTCGGGTTTCTTATCAACCGTTCCAACAAATAGAATATCCGGATCTGTATGCATGTGATCAATTCCATGTACTTTCCTTGAGCGACAACACTTCGCAACACTTCGCAAATTTAGTTTTCGGCATGCATGACAGACTTTGCCATATGCTGGGCATTGCTTGCTTGGATGGTCTCGCTCGTATTGGCTACAATTTTATTACTTCGCCCGAGGATATCTTCTGTTTTTCTCGCCCAAACTTCGCTGGTCTGTCTTCATTATTTCCCTTTTCTTGAACTCTTCTTCACTGAACTTACTTTAAAACTGTCGTCTTTCGTTAGGTCTTTAAGTTGTTTACGCGATTCTTCGTCTGCTTTATGTATGCTAATGGCTTTGTCTAAAGTTAAATCGTCTTGAAGCATTTGAGCTTGAAGTCTGTCCTCTTTTATGCCACAAATGAGTTGATCCCGAATTAACTCTTCTTGTAGTTCTCCAAAACGACAGTTTTTCGCCAAAAGCCGTAGTTCCGTAACATATTGGTCAACTGATTCCGGTTTCGCCTTGCACGCGTTTATTAAATTTGTATTGCTGCATTGTTGTGTTCTGCTTCGGTATGCAATAATCTTCAAACTTTTGTATTAACGGTTTTATTTTGTCTACTTCGCTCGTCTCAAAATCAAACGTGTTGTGGATATCTCTGCCATCTTGACCAATGATATATAAGGAAGCGCTGCATCTCTCTTTCTCAGATGCGTCTTTCATGCAGACATCCATGTATAAATTGACTGTTTGTTTCCATCTCTTCCACCGCTCAGACAAATCACCATCGCTCGAAACGAATTGGAACTCAGGAGGTTGTCTTAATTTATCCATTTCGGAATAAACTCCTTCAAACTCTACGATTTCTAGTTAGTATCTCACTCCTGACACCATGTTATGTTTGTACATCCATATGTATAACATTTATTAGACTAACTTTAATGTGAGTACAGCAACTCTTATATAGAGCTAAGTTTATACATAAATTAACATATGAAACAATAATACAACAGGCTCTTTTTACTCTAGTTGTCCTGGATTGTCCACCATGCATGAGAAGAGTCATTGTTTTTGCCGGATTGTTTCGTACACAAGCATAACACATCAACGATTTCCTTTCGAATGTAAGACTGATTGCTGCCGCTGTTCACCAAAACACGTACAGGTAGTGTAACATCACGGGAAACTAGTTTCACCATTGCTGTAGGAAGTAACATCACTTGCTTATCAATTGAAGTCGACAAATAACCATTTGCAATTCCGGTATGGCTGGTGATTTCATCACTTGTGATATCTTTCTTCACATCATGATTTCCTGCTTGTGTATCTTCAACCTTCGACTTTATCTTTCTTCTCAATGTTTAGCAACGATTCCACCAAATGTTCTACTACTAGACGTTTTTTGCCGTATTTTTTTTGGAGCGCCTCAATAGCTTTAGGGTAATTGTCGCCAGATACTTCGAGGTATTCGATCGCCCTTCTCGCCGTCCCTTTAACATACAGTCGTAGATTATTAAGGCAATCATGATTGGTCAGTGTCTCGTTTCATTAATGCAGATTTTATATTGATCCCACCAAGAGACCCATTCTAGAATATTCCCAGTAAACTCACTCAACATAAACTTCGGAAGCTGTAACTGACTCCATACTGGATTGGAGGGGCTTGTAGTGGAAAATTGCCTTTTGGTATCTTCTGTTTGTAAGGAAATTTGTTGCTCTGCCAACATTGTAATTTCCAAAATTTCTTGTTGAAATAACGCCCACTTTCGAAGTTCGTCATTTACAGATTCTTCATTCGGGAGAATAGCTATCAGTTCTTGAACAATACGGCTGTATTATTTCTCTAATGATTTCAACCATTCCAGTGCTTTATCCAGCTGCCTTTGTGATTTCGCATCTGTCATAAACTTGTGCATTTCATGCATGAGTACTTCAATTGACGTGCCGACAAATTTTTGCTTTTGTCCTAGCTGGCTAATTTCTTCGTCATCACAATAGCTCATCTTATTAAATGGTATAGATGCTTCAAGTGGTTGACCTTTCTCTTTGACGCAGGGTTTCTCAATAACAGGGGACTTATTCGCGGCGACTTGAGTCTCTGTCAAGACCTGCAAAAACTGTTCTTGCCATTCAGCTAAATGTTTACTAGTCGTGTGTCCAATATTTGTTCTACGCGGTGGTCGATTTCTTCTGTGGATAATTTTGCTCTGTTGACCTTCGCTTCGAGCATTTCGTTTAGTGATGCTTCTTGTTCGCTTGGTATATTTAATGCTTCTTGTGCGGCGAACTGTGTCAAAGAGCCTTCGAGATTTCGCACCATTGCTAATTCAGATTGGGCCTTTGCTGCTTGCCGTGTAATCATTCTCTTCGAAGGGTTTACTTTTGATGCAGATTCCGTCGCCAGTTGTTGTCGTTTGTACTTAAACAGCTTTGAGTACAAGACGTTCTCGTGAAGGTAATGGGTAGACTATGTAGCTGTAGTTCATTGCGAATGTCTGTGAATGTCATGGCATGAACTGCTTGATATAACTCTTTCTCGCTTTTGTTCATCTTCGACATTTTCTCTTAATTTCGACTAACTTTCCTTGAGATTTGTGACCATTTCCTGCTACCATGTAAAACTTTCAATAACAAACTTCCTTTAACAACATTTATTCTCAATCTATCCTAAATCAAATCATACACGCTTTTATAACTCTAAAAAGCTAATTATGTTCATTTTCTAATTTATTCTTAAAAGTCAATTATATGTTCTAAATAAACAATACCCTTTCTTTAAAACTGTGGCAATTGACACACCAGGTGGAAATCTTAGTTTAAAGATAAAGAGCAGAGCCCAGCAAATAACTTTAAATCCAAACATAATAAAAGTAAAAAATTTATTAGCTAACGTTTCGTTGTTTACAATACAACATCTTCAGAGCAATCTAAATGAATTTACAGGGTATGGTATATATATTTACAAAATAATGGTTTAATATTACAAAAACGGTTACATGGTTTGAAAGAACAAATGAATAGAAAGAAAGGAAAACAACTTATCAGTAACTAGTTAATAAGTAAAGATTAATGTATGGTTAGTATAGTTAAGGTTAATATTACATAACTAAAATAACTCAAGAGGGGTAGATCTAATATTAGCATTAAGGACAGGGTTAAGTTGAGATATTAATAGGCTTTCACGGATAAGAAGATCCCACTCATCAGGCACTTCTGAGTGGGATCTTCTTATCCGTGAAAGCCTATTAATATCTCAACTTAACCCTGTCCTTAATGCTAATATTAGATCTACCCCTCTTGAGTTATTTTAGTTATGTAATATTAACCTTAACTATTTTAATCTTTACTTAACTAGTTACTGATAAGTTGTCTTCCTTTCTTTCTATTCATTTGTTCTTTCAAACCATGTAACCGTTTTTGTAATATTAAACCATTATTTTGTAAATATATATACCATACCCTGTAAATTCATTTAGATTGCTCTGAAGATGTTGTATTGTAAACAACGAAGCGTTAGCTAATAAATTTTTTACTTTTATTATGTTTGGATTTAAAGTTATTTGCTGGACTCTGCTCTTTATCTTTATACTATACCCTATTCAAATTATAACACTAACTAGTTAATTAAAGTCATATCTCACTGGAGCTCTACTCATTTGTCCGGAACGGGTAAATCTTACAGTTGGATCATATCAGAGTATCGACATGGGTATGCAAGACAATTTAAGGGAATACACAGTCCTTTGAGTCCAGAACACATTCTTTGTAGGCACTTAATTATATCGGGAATTTGAAGGATGTACTGGAGAAAAATAGGGTTGTGCTTTTGTACTTGAAATTCTGCCAAACATTCAGCTTCGTTCATTTTGGTAAGGAAAAAGCTGAATACTTGCTGTATGGGAACTCAGGATTCCTTGAATTGTACGCTAAGTGCAGTAAAATAAACTGTTCCTCTGTCAAAACACCTTCCTCAAAAAGAACAAGACAAACTTCTTTGATTTCTTGAAATAAATATATAATATCAGCCATTGGTGCTGGGTTAGTTTTTGCTTAATGTTTTGAAATTTGCAGGGGAACGGCATACTGATTCCCAGGTTTCCTCATGCTGTCATGTTACCATTAGCTTGAAAAAAAATGGTGCTTAAGTTCCCTAATATTGGGGGAGGGGGGCTCAAGAATAAATCTGAATTGCCTAGTTCTTTTGCATGTTCGCTTATGTTGAACTTCCACTCACACACAAATGAATAGAAACACCAGTTTTTGTTCTAAAGTTAGCATAAAGACAAAGACCAAAGTAAATGTGGTAAATGTTAAGAGTATATATGCAGTATAGTTCGTTTTAATTTTCTCTTGATACCATATCAGAAACAGGTAATTCCCATATTTACAAATGTTATTGTTAGTATGTTACCTGCATTTATATAGTAGATTTACCTGTGCAATTTCGCAGGGATGCAATAAATTTCGATAAAGATCGAAATATTTGCAGCTTGTCGCAGTGAAGTTACACTGGAATTGCATTTATATGGCAGGGTGTTTACACTTCACACTGGCAATTTCATGTTGCCATCACATCAGCAGAATAAATCACATTTAAAATCATAGCAAAATTAAAACAGGCCTATAGACAACCCAATTGCTCTGCTGGTTTAGTTGAAATAGTGTACCAAAACATTCATAAATTTAAGTAAAACTATTATTATACACTTTCTACATTATTGACAATGACAGAAATATGATTGATTGTCTTAATTAGCTTGGCAATCAAGGACGGATTTTCTGGGGGGAGGGGGTTGCGGGAGGGACCCCCCAAATAAATTTTCCACCCCCCAGAGAAATTGTGCACCCCCCAACAAAAATGTGCACCCCCTGTCCCTGCCAAAATTTAAATGCACTAAATTAAACTACTGTTAAGTAAGATAGAAATATTCAAATTAACATGTTTCTATACACGCTTTTTGCAGCAAATTAGCGTAAAAGTAAAACAAACTTACAAAACGTGCTCATTGGCACCACGCGTTCGCACATTCTGATCAGGGGTGGATTCAGACAGGTTTACATTAACCGTCAGATTTTCCAAAGAAAGAAAATCTATAACCGTCCATGTATATAACTGATTTAAAGAATATTCTGTTTCATAAAATTGATGTTGTCTAATCTATTATTGAAATTTGATTATGGACTACCGAGCATATTTAGACTGATCATTGCTTTGGCGATTGAGAATCGGGGAATGATTGGGAAGTTTTCACCCTCTTGCAGTTTGGTTTTTAGTTTGTTGTTAGAGTTGGATTGAAAGCGTGTAGATCTAAATCGATGTGTCAGCAATTAGCGCATCCTATATTTTTATCACTAGGCACTAGCTAATACGCTTCGGAAAAGGTCCAATTCATTGTTTGAGCTGCATATTAGTAAAAAATTCACTTAAAAACATGCATTTTCTAATCATTAAATTAATTTAAAAAGTGACGCCAGAACGCAGGAAATGCTGTTTCAGAGCCCCAAATTTTAAAATTTTTCCGGGGCCCATGCCACCGGACCTCCCATTAGTTGAGTGAACCTAGTAAGCCGGTCATCAAAAACCCGGATCCACCCCTGCACATGATCATCACCACCCCCCTGAGCTAACCAATGGCAATGATATCCTGTTCTTTAATGATTTTAATGTATAATGAGGAATGTTGCACTTATATGGCACAATTATGAACTATATACAACAGATTAAATTCAAATTTTAAAGTTGTTCTTGAATAGAAAGAAGAACCATTGAAGAAAAATTAAAACTTTACAATGTCAAAAAATGGGTTAAAACACGACGTCAAACTAGGGATCCAAAGATAGTGTGAATTTTCAAATTGAAAAAGACACTGCAAGAACTATATAGGGTCGCTGACAACTTAGAAATACGGAGCCGCATTGGGGACATGGGGTAGATTTTTTTTTTGTACGATCCCTTTTTTTTTTTGGTGCAAGAAACACCCATAAAATGAAGATTTTCGAGATTTTTTTTGACTTTCTTCACTAAAAATTTGATGAAGTTACACCTAAAATTTGTTGCGCCATGTTCAATAGACTAAAACGCACGTTCATCATGTGAAGTAACCTTAAAGGGTATTAGTAATAAAGGTTTGCACGGGAGCTTCGGATGGAGAAGGCTCCAGCTTTTTGGATGTTTTGTTTGTACTTTTCAGGTAGTTGAATCCCTCTCCTTCAGAACGACAGAAACGTCCTGAAAGCAAAAAGGTGAATTTTGAAGTTTCCACTGCTTTAATTCGCATGTATTTTATGAAACTAAAATTAACAGAACGGTTCAGTTTATTGTAACATAATAACGACCACTTCAACAACGCTTAAATTTAATTGTATTTTTTTTAACTCATATATATGTAGACGTTTTAGCAGTGCACTGTGCTTAACAATTTAGACGTCCAAAGGAGCAATTACAAACATGCAAATATTGTAAAAATAAATCAGTGTTCAACATGCACTACGTTTATGTTTTTAAGTATTTAACTTGAACTTTTCCGGAAGGTTGTCCTTATGTTTTGTTGCCGCGATCGTTAGTATTTGGTGATCATAACTAGAAACGGAACGAAATTGTGACAGTTCACCCCTATAAGTGTACGATACATGAATATATCTATATAGACTTAGTATTATACTTAATAAACACAGTAAATCTATAACGGCAAACTTCGATATACTACTGTGTTGTATATCGGTAATATTCTAGCATGTCTCTCAATAAATATCAACTTTAAAAACTGAATGTCAATTTTATGTTCATCGTTAGTTAAAAACTGTTCACTGTTGAACACTGACTGAAAGAAATGGTTTATTTCGACTGGATATCTCCAGTATTCAGCATATTATAACTTAAAGGCCGAGTTTATGCAAGTTTTGTTTTACAAACGTCGGATATTGGCATAAAACTAAAACCAACCATGGCTGCCATATATTTTCCAAATGAGTGAGAGAAAACTTTGAAATTTTTTTTCTTGAAATATTATTTTTTTTAGCTCCATCAAATTCCATTCTGATTTCTTTCGGATGTTACGAAAAACATGTAGATTATCCAAACATGTACATATAAAAAAACAAAAATAAAAAATCAACAAAATGTCCATTCAAAATTTTCGCTAACTGATTAGGAAAATATATTGGGATCACTTTAAGGCTTGGTTACTAAGCACTGCACTATTTGGGATCACTTTAAGGCTTGGTTACTAAGCACTGCACTATATATGTGCTATGGAGCACTGAACGTTACCTTTATCTATTAGTATATATAGTAGAGGTGTGCAAATCCGATCGGATTCGTTCGGATTTCGGAACAAAAATATACATATCGGATTGATAAATTTGTTTTGTAGTCGGATTGGATCGGACTTCGATATTCGAAATAAAATGAATTAATTATCCACGCATTATTGCAAGAATTAATTATCCATGCATTTATCAAAGCATTATCGCGGTTCTCGCTGCCATTTTTCGTTTGATACTTCAATTGGGCGTCAATTTGTCAGCTTGTTGACATGTATTTCTTGTTTTTATATTGATTTGGTTAAACATTTCAACTTGAATGAAAAATTTATTTTGTTAAAGGATTCTTCGGATCAGATCGGATTTCTTTATCGCAACTCGGATCGGATTAGACAATTTCGGATCGGATTTTAAACATTAGCCAATTGTCTGATTATAAACGTCCAATCCGATCCGATGCACACCTCTAATATATAGGGTGTATAAAAAAAAGGTAATCGAACTTCAGCGCGCTATTATGCGTGAATTACTTGGCGTATGAACAATTGGTTTTCATATTCGGAAAGATCAGGCTTTTAGCTATTGAACGACACGCTTTTTAAACCAAGTGGAGAAAAAATAAGTATGTAACTGTAAGAGGCCGATCAAAAATGGTAGTCAAAATCGCATATTTTCCCCTCTGCGCATAATTAAAACAATTCATAACAAAAGAAAAAGCAATTAATCACGAACGTGTTGTAGCTTAACTAAGATTTATTCCTACTTAATAATAATTATGAATATGTGCATCGTTTATTTAAGTGAAATTCATTGACTTAAGTGCCAAAGGGGGTTCATTTTCAATGGTTTTAGATCCAACTCTCAACGGTGAAAATTGCGACTCTGACTAACATTTTTTATTGGATTCGTATTTGCTCATTTTTTATCCATTTGGCATGAAGAAGATATCATTCAACAGCTGAAAGCCTGATCTTTCCGGAATGTGAAACAATCTCGTTCATACGCAGAGTAATTCAGATACAATAGCGCGCTAAGTTCGATTACCTTTTTTTTTTGACCACCCTGTAGTTTACTTTGGAAACAAAACATAATATGTGTTAACTCAACAATCGTTTGGTATATGCATAACGCATATATGGACCGTTCAACAACAGTTATATAACTCAACAATCGTTTGGTATGCATAATGCATATATGGGACCGTTCAACAACAGTTATATATCAGTTATAGCCTATAACTCAACAATCGTTTGGTATGCATAACGCATATATGGGACCGTTTAACAACAGTTATACAGTATATCAGTTATATAACTCAACAATCGTTTGGTATGCATAACGCATATACGGACTGTTCAATGTCATATGACTGTCCAACTATGGCAGCATGAAATCAAAAGATTCATCGTGTCCAAGTATTGCGTATAGTTCCCGCTTGAATTCTCCAAGAGAAGAATACGTCGTAGGCAATATCAGAGTGTTTGAGCACGTATATGTTGAAGGAGCACGTTTCACACCAGTAGCTGCGTTGAACTGGACTATAATTTGTGGACTTACTGTGGATGCTGTAACAAATCGTAAAAATTTGGCTGGGAGCTTTTCATCCATGTTACCAACGCTTAGTTTCAAAAAATCCATAACACGTTGCTGACCACTTCAGAGGGCATCCTCTTTATGCGTTATCATCTGCAGTACCTTCTCATTTGACGGTGGTAGATCTTCATACAATTTCTGGATTCTTTCCAAAGACAGCTGACCGGAAACAAGTTGCATATCTGATTCCATAATTCCTTCCTTTATCCATTGCAAAAGAACCATAGGCTTGAACAGGAATTCCGATCTTGCCATTTCGATCATATGTTCCTTTAGATGAGCCGGAGATTGAGCAGGCGAACAGGTCATCCCAAAACGTGTGTAGATGGTCCACAGACTGTCCACAACACGAGGCTGTTTGCTGTCACCGTTGGCAACGTGCTGCAAGATATCTCTTTCGAACTGGCTGATGTAAAAGTGGAATGATCTCAGCAATATCTCGTCCGTCACTTTGTCTTCACCATGAATGGCAGCAATAAGGGAAGCTTCACAAAAGAGGATTGGAATTTGCTTTGTTAGTACCCATCCATGCGCAAGAACTCTGCCAATAGCTTTAAATGCAGCTTTACTATTAGCTATGGACTGCGGAGGAACAAATGACACCTTTGCTGTTTCTCCTTCGAAATACCTATCCCAGACTGCATCCCAAAACGTACTGAAAAGTTCTTGAGTTAAGCCACCAAAATCAAGGCCCGTTTCGTCATTGAACGTCACCGCTAGGCTACAACGCAACATTGTTGGATCCCTGAACTGATTCAATACATCATCGACGATCGTCGCTCGTCGAACATGAACCTCTCGAACGCTCTGAAGATTTTTGTCATCATGATTTTCATCTGTTTGTGATGTAGCTAAAAACAAAGTTAAAGGTATAGAATAAAGAAGTAAAATTAGTGTCAAGTATCGAGACTAAAGAGTCAAGGGTCGAAAATCTATATTCGAAGGTCCAATGTCCATTTTCGAAATACCAAATCTCCTATTAAACATTTATAAAATTCCAAATTTTAAAGTTAATTGAAGTCAAAATTTCAAAAGCAATTTAAAATGTAATGTACAAAAAATAAACTTGAATGGGTATGTCTAATATTTTGTCCGTATGAAAGAAACGTGAAACTCCATGTGAACACTCGCCCTACTTGCTGAAGGAACTTTTTTTCGGTTTCTCTCGATTTCGGACCAAGTTTTAATGCGTTCTATGCAAAAAGGATTTTCTACTATGACAGTATAGTTGAAAACTGTATATTACATGGTTCTTCGTCTTCGGCTAATACTTCTCTCATTCGCTCCAGCTGTCGCATTTGTCGTCTGTAGGTTTCCGACGGGAACGTTCCCTGCAACAAGGAAATGATTTCAGATATGAACTCAGAGATCCCAATGATAGTGCAAAGTTGATATAACAAATGATAATTAAGATTTATTTTAATTCGAATAATGTATGAAATAGCTCCATGGCATACTGTACCACATTAACGGTGGAAATTGTTCTTTATATTAGACAAATGTATAATTTTATTAGAAAATTACAAATACACGAAATTTCCTCGGTGTTCAATATTTTGGACAAAAATATTAACAAGCTACAACTGGTACAAAACTTCACGTGCAGGATCGTGACAAACAGCAAGAAGTTCCATCATATCTCACCAAAACTGCGAGACCTGAATTGGCTTCAAGTTAATGAACACTTTCTTTTTAGAGATACAGTTTTTATGTACAAGTGTATTAACAATCTAGCCCCACCTTACTTGTGCAATAAATTTAGTAAACGAACAAATATACATGAATGTAACACTCGTAACCGAGAGCTCCTCCAAATACCGATTTATAATACCACCACTGGCCAGAGAACATTTCATTATAGAAGGGCGAAACTATGGAATGATCTGGACAATAACACGAAACAAATGCCATCTTTGAGAAGTTTTAAGAATAAATTAAAGAAAGACATGTTAGACAGACTGTATTCTTAGTAATGCCTAATGGACTATTTTAATAATAGAAGATTTTTCCTAGTAAATTTTTAAATATGTAATCTTAACTTTGTTTATTAATCACCATTCCATGTAAATTAGTGTTGAAAAGCCTCTTTGAGGAATACAATAAAGTATGTATGTATGTATGTGTGTATGTATGTATGTATGTATGTATGTACTTTTTTCCAGTGAGACGAAGAATCGCTGTTTTGGAAGGAGAGAAGCGAAATAACGAAAAGCGCCCGGTTAATAGAGGTAAATATTTATTGTAAAACATTAAACATACCATACCTGTGACAGAGTACTTGCTTCTGAGCCATTTTCATGGTCACTATAAGTCGAGAGTTTAGTTTATATTAATTAGAACAAGATAAATTGTATAAAAGGGTTCTTCTATCAGCTCAATACAAATTACATTCTCTTACGATAATTACATTCTCTTGTCACCATATAGATCAATCAAGCTGGCTCCACACTCCACATGGAATTTACTTTCTTTTGCCTAGATCATAAATTAATCTAACATGCAAGTTGTCCGTTGTTGATGCATTCCAATCAAAACTAAGTAGTGCAAAGAGATTGTCTTAATTTCTAATATTTATTAAATGCTGATCAAAATTATGAACAGAACTCATCAGCGATATTCTTGCTGTGCAAATATTTCAAACCTGCAACAACATCTTTGGCACATGTTGGAAGCAAGTCTGCGAAGGAGGCAAAGTCAAACTCGTCGTCTACGCAATTCCAAACGGGCGAAAATCGAAGCAAGAATACTCCATCGTTATTGAGTACAGTTCTTCACAAAATCCAAGGAACCGGATTATGTTCCTATGGCCTTTTGTATTGTTCAACAGTGCGGCTTCTTTCACGAAACAGGATTTCGAGTCAATGGACCCAATATTATTCTTTTTGGTAACCACTTTTCTGGTTTTCCTTTGTATTTTCCTAGTTATACGGACCCAAACGTACCGCAACCCAAGTTATTTTCTTTTCGAAAGGTTTCCACTCAAACTTTGGCAACTCTGGTTCCTTTTTTGCCTTTCATTTTAGACTTGTTGGGATTTTAAAGCTCGCTGCCATTTTGGTCGAATTTTGGCACGAAATTGTGGTCCCAGTCCACGTTTTACTAATAGAGTCCAGTCTGCATTTTACTAATGGAGTCCAGTCCGCGTTTTACTAATAGAGTCCAGTCCGCGTTTTACTAATAGAGTCCAGTCCGCGTTTTACCAATCGAGTCCAGTCCGCGTTTTACCAGTCCAGTCCAGTCCGCGTTTTACCATATGCCCAATGTAGCTGCTTCATTTCTTCAAATTTCCTGAGAATAAGTTGATTTTGTATGAAAGTAGCAAAACGAGCTCATGTTGATAAACAAAGTATGAGGCTCTCCACTACTTCAGAGTTGTAAATCCCGTTTCGCGGGGTTATAAAGCCATAATACTCTAAATTTTTTGCTCGTAAATGATTGTAAACTGGCCCGTTCATAAACGTAACCAAGGCAAAAAACGCGAAAAACTACCATCGGTAATACAAATCTATACAAAAGTGGGGCCCCAAATCGGGTGGCGGCTGGTGACTTTCGGCTTCACTTTTGTATACTATAGATGCGTTATCAAGTCTCATTTCAGATCAGTGATATGCACTCGGAAAAGTTTATAAATCTTTCTAAATTGTATACTGGTATAAGTACTATAATTACTTAAAAAATACATTTAAAATCAAACACAAAACTAAATGCTATCCTTTCATTCATTTAATTATTTCTTAAGTGTACAAAAGACTTTCAAGTGGATTTAAATTGTTCCGTGCATGTATGCAGGTACGAAAAAAATCAGCGTATATGTTTTGGACTAGTAAACTTTCGGAGTAGTGAACCTCCGAAGAGTGAACATTCGGACTAGTGGGAAGTCACCGTTGGCTTGAAAAATGACTTTTATCTTCTCGTGTTAAAAAAAATATTTTACTCGCTTGCTACGCTCGTTCGTAAAATATTGTTTTCACAACTCGAAGATAAAAAGTCATATTTCCACACCGCCGTGTAATATCCTCTATGACTATATAATATAAATATATATATATATAGGGTATACAAAATGTAAAACTTTATGTTATTGCTACACGATGGGCGCGCGCAACTGCACATGCTATACAATTTACGAGAATATATTAAAATACAAAAACACTTTCAAATCGATAGCTTTGTCACTATTCGGTTAATTGTGAAATCAAACTATTACTATATTTGTACAATTTCTAACTTGCTAGTTTATTTTATCTTGCGTTACTTTTCAGTATATTTAAGCGATTCATATGCTTATTGTCAACAAAATTTCGGTCACTATAAAGTTGCATGCACGCAATTGAATGGTTCTCTAAATTTAGCAGTCATTCTAAAAATACAAGTGATCTTTTGACTTTTGACATGTTTTGACATAATACTGGAAACAGAGCATGCTTGACAGAAATTAAACACAAAAATGGCAAAGCTTTATTTTTTCTGTGAGGGGAAATCAGACTCTGATATCAGGTAACAACTGTGAAACTTGTTCACAAAAGTGCGAATTTCAAGTTTGTGATAAAATATATTCATATTATGCTATTTAATATAGCACGGAGCTTTGGTGAACTAGCCTGCCTGAAAGACTTGGTATGGACCACATGTGAATGTGTAACCCTTATTTGTAAATATTATGATCCCGGCCCTCACTCCACCCGGACAATAGCCCCCATGGACGTTTAAAAACGTGAATATGTATATTTTTGTATTTGGCAAGTATGAAACTGTAGTTTATATAAACGACATGCAAACCGTTACTGTAACCGTATAAACAAATCGCTTTATTAATAATTACTTTCCTAGTTTCCTACCCTCATTCTGTGCCTCAATGTAGCAATCCCTTTTATTATTGTAATGCTATAATTATCCTTTCTTTACCATTGTACGCGATCTTTTTTTATAGTAATTATATATATATAAATAGACACATTCGTCTACTACAACATTTAAGTATTTAATATATAACAAAACACTTGCATAGTGCATGCTCTGATTATCAAAATAGAACAGTTTGCCTTGTAAATCAGAAACAGATGAAATGAAATTAGCATCACAAAAGAAATGTAGCTACAAACCTCAATTTTCTTGTCGGTTGTACTTGACTGCGACGCCATGATGATAGTTGTTGTTGGTTCGTTGTGATTGAAATTGAGCCTGCGATCAAAAAAAACTTGCACCCGAAAAAAAAATCTTGCACCCGAAAAAATAATCTTGCACCCGAAAAAAAATCTTGCACCACAAAAAAAAAATCTTGCACCCGAAGAAAAATCTTGCACCACAAAAAAAAAATCTTGCACCCGAAGAAAAAAAGGGTCGTACAAAAAAAAAATCTTCCCCATGTCCCCAATGCGGCTCCGTATAGAAAAGCTTGATGGCTTACACTAGGAAATAAACAATTACCAAAGGCATTTCATCTCATTATCTATTGCTTTTCATCTCATTATCTATATTCCACATATCCGTTCCGTGGATCCGCTCCATCCGCTTCCGCATTTTAACCTAATTGTGACATGTTTCACATTAACAAGTCTCATTGACCTTTGACTTTTCCCAGTGTCATGTTGTGTCTATTTTCAGCTTCTTGTATCTGTTGAATAATGTCACTTTAGATTTCAATAGTTTCACAGTTATAGCAGTGTTTAAAGCAGTTTTGACAAGCTTTTGATACAGTTCTGTGTACAGAATACTACAGATTGATTCTGGTAAGATCTGGTAGAGTTATCGTTGCACTGAACACGAGTTTGCACCGTTGACAACGGCATTGTGCTAGACAGTAAACAAGGTCTGTGACAGTACATGTTGGCTACATGTACCTCCTTGCTTTTTTCTTCCATTGCATAAAGCCTGTTGGTGAGCCAAGCGATTGGCGATCACATGTTGGCGATAACACATTGGCTATCTCCTCATCTTTCTTAGTTAAATAAGGAGGTCTGACTCGACTGATTTCTTTCGTCTATTTTCTTCGTAAACTCCTGTACAAACACCCGCTTCTGTCTAATAGTTGTTTATGCTTTATTGATCTGATGCAGATCTGACCAGCAATTTTTCGCTCTTTGTACTGAGTGTAGCCATTTATTCTGTGATGCAGCACCTTATACAGTCAATGACAATGTATAATGAATACACAGTTTGAATAATATTGATAGGCACTTAATTGAATGCCGGTAATCATAACATCAATTTATATATTATATTATTGCGTAGAATCTCAAAGATTTTCTCAATATTCATGTCTGAAATGTTTAGCCTATATACCTGAAAACATCACTGCCCCGCTTCTTCGTACGTACTGTAACTCTGTATAATGAGTATACTGTGAAAATAATATCAGCACTCAATTGAATGCATAGAATCTCAAAGATTTTCGACTCAATATTCACGTCTGAAATGTTTATACACTTGAGTCTTGACTGCACTGTCTAGCTCCTCCCTAATCCTAGCTCTGTATAATGAGTATACCATCTAAATATTATCAGCACTTAATTGAATGCCTGTAATGCACAAGATCAATTCATATATTGTGTACATTACTCAATATTCACGTCTGAAATGTTTATACATCTGAAAACAACACTGTCATTCCTTCCTAGCATATTGTCACGCCATCGTGATCTATGGCTTGATAGCACATGCGCATTTGCACTACTAAAGAAAAAATCGGGTGTTCCGGGGTAAAGATCCTTTACACAACATGAGAAGCAAATGTTCTAAAATTTACAAAAAAATCAAAGACAAAAACCATTCCTCTAACGTTTTGAGAACCTGGCAAAACAATAAAAGAATATTTAAATAAGACAACTGAAATTGCCTAAATGACCTTCAAAGCACGGAGTAAGTACGATAAGTCACTACGAACATAAACGTATACATCCCCCAGAATGTTTACTGTATGACTGAATGACTGACTGAATGACTGTCTGATTCGTTTGAATTTTCCCCCCACTCATCACAATACTCTGAAGTTTCGAAGAAACTTCACACTAAAAATGGCTTAGCCTAACTATATAAAACTACTTTTTTATAGGTGACCAAATGGCAATTACTAACTTTTCTCTACGCAGTGGTTTTAAGTTTATCTAGTATTTCAGACATAGTGGTCAAGTAAATGTTAGGGCGATATTGATCAATGATTGTATAAATAAAACTTTACAAGAATTCCTCTAGTGATGTAGCATGATTTGTAAGTCAAAATCATAACCAATCTAAGATGGCAAATATCAGTCACAACTCACTAATTTTTGAAGAGTTTTAGGTATAGTTTTACAGGGTATCTAAAAAAGTTAGAAATTAATTGTCGTCAAAAGGCCACAATCATCATCACAAAGCTTTTTTTATGAAAGGCTATAAGGTTCCATTTTCAGAATAGGGTTAAAATATATCCAAGATGTTTTTTGTTCTATTAGTAATGGGAAACATGGCTTAATGGAGGGTAAGCCTAATCTACCTAACCACTTTTTTAGATCTGCAAATTTCTCAAAAGTAGAGGTATAAATAACAACATGATTCATAATCTAATCGAAGAGAATGTAACTGTGAAGAAAACATTATCTTCCATACTTAATTTTCTGTATGAAATGGTGAATTTTTAACAAATAAATGATAAAATTACAAATTATGATTTCAAGATATTAAACCCTTTTCAGCCATTGCTCATGCTTCAGATCACGGTTAATAGAAGAAGACTGGTTAGGCTAGCTGGTAAACTTCAAAAGGCTTCTGAAATTATGTTGGGAAGCAGCGAAAAAAGGTCATGTGATGCGAACCTTGCATCATACAAGGAGTGATGACAGGAAAACAATAGGCGATATGTTAAAACCGTGCGATACTAGATTATTTTATAGTCTTTATATAAACTTCAGCGATTAGTTACAATTTTTAATTGTCTGTGTGAACATCGAAGGTGATAACTGACGTGCAGGTAGGTCAGATTTCTGTAATGTGATCAAGTTTCAACAATCGAATATACCCGAGAGCTTCTCGGGTCTCGATACAAACATTCCATATGGCAGAAGTAAGCATCGAAAGGTCAAGCGAAAGCGATGACAGTGGCTCTGAGATTTTCTCAGGACACTCTGAAAATGATGAATATAATATACAAGTTACCGTTGCTGTTGCCGAAGCTGAAGGAGAAGAAATCAAGAAGAGTTTAACAACGCTTTGAGTGAAATTAATGGGGAGAAGTTATTTCCTTGTTCAAAATGTGAGAAAGTGTGCAAATCGAAAGGCGGCCTAACAAGGCATATTAACTCAAAGCATAACGAAAAGACATCCAATACAAAGACGTTCCCCGAATTACATCTTTTCTCCTTTGATACAATTGCCTCAATTGTGGAAACAATTAAGTCGCAAATTATACAAGAAAAATTGTATGGCTCTGTAATGATTGACCATGTAAAGACTGCGTCATGCACTAAAGTTTTGTTTGACGCTTTGTTTCCAATGTATGCTGATTTTTGTTGAAAGAAAAATCAAGATAAACTAGTCGAATCATTCTTCGCATTAATGCCAAAATCTTGTAAATTATTAAAATGCGAGGCCTTGTAGGCTGCGAACCTAATCATGATCCATATACCTGACCACGTTGTTGGATTTTACAACATTAATCGAGCTCGGACAAGTCAAATGGAAACTGAGCGAACCTCACAGGCAGATGTGAAATCTATCCATCAAGCTGAGTGTGGGGCTTTGTCTTATCTCCCAGGCTATGTAGTCTTGAAACTCTTCCAAACAAGCAAACAGAAAAGCGGGGCACACAACAAGGAGTTCAACCTGTTATTGCAAAGCATGAAATCTGATGAGATGTCAAGTTTTATTTCATCTCGTACAAGAGGCGTTAACCCCTCAAGTAATTTAGTGGGGATTTTAGAAGAAGCTGAACATGCATTTTGAGAACAAGTGAACGAGTCCAAGCTGACATTGAGAAACATTCCTACTGATTTGATATGCAATTCATCACTGGAATCCCCTAAGGTCAAGTCACTATGGGAGAATATTATACTATCAGCTGGAGTAACCAAAGGAAGTCCCACAGAAAAGTTGTGTTTGGAAAATGTTGTTAAACTGTACTTGAAGGTCAGGTCCTTTTCTTATGCAAGGGACTATCTTACCAAACATAAAATTAAGGACAAGAAAATCAAGAAAAGTCGAGCTTTAAGGAAGGATCTGAAAAGATCTGCAGACCCAACAACATAGGATTTTTGTGTGATGTTACTCTGAGTGTATATCCGCACCGGGCAGGCTTGAAAAATATGCCTGGCCACGGCGGGATTCGAACCTACGACCTTTGGAATACTAGCCCAATGCTCTTCCAACTGAGCTACGCGGTCAGGACGGTTCGAGTAAGCGATATTTTGGAACTGAGTCTAGTTCCTTCAATATCAGTGTAATCTAATATTTATGAAATCTGCTGTGTTGGTGTAATGTACTCAGGTGAATAAGATGTTTGTGTGATGTTACTCTGAGTGTATATCCACACCGGGCAGCAGATTTCATAAATATTAGATTACACTGATATCGAAGGAACTAGACTCAGTTCCGAAATATCGCTTACTCGAACCGTCCTGACCACGTAGCTCAGTTGGAAGAGCATTGGGCTAGTATTCCAAAGGTCGTAGGTTCGAATCCCGCCGTGGCCAGGCATATTTTTCAATCCTGCCCGGTGTGGATATACACTCAGCGTAACATCACACAAACATCTTATTCACCTGAGTACATTACACCAACACAGCAGATTTCAACATAGGATTTATTAAAAATCGCATGACAATTTTTTTTCGAATAAGCCCACTGCTAGGCTGTGAGAATAGAGATTCCCATATACAGCTGATTTAATTAAAATTGTCCTCTAAAAGTCAGAACTCAAAACTGTCAACTCTCCTATTTATTGGTAAAAACACTATTGTCACCCATGCATTTCACAAATGACTGCTATTAGCCTATTTTATGGGGTTGGAAAAGTATAAATTCCAATCTCCCATAGAGCTTTTCTCGCTTAAGGTCGATGTTTGTGGTTTTGACTTTGTAAGTACAACCTTCATTGAATTAGCTGTTTATCTACCACAAATTTTCTAAAGCAGATATACCGTAGGAGCTGACATCCTAAGTACTAACCCTGATGGTCACAGCCTGGCACTTAAGTTTCATTCACACAATGCAATTAGTTGTATACGATTTGTAACCTGGCATATGTGATAAATAATTGCATCATGTAAATGGGCCTTTATGGGCACTATCACCGAGGTCTTGAAAACGGCCCAAGAAACTTTTTCTTATCCTAACGTTACAGCCATTGTATTTTACAGTACAAACAACTTGTACAGTATATATTGTACTCTACACGTATCAACAGAATGAACTACAATTTGAGTTACTATTGGTATTATGTGTATTTAAAGGGACTGTACAGTAATTTTTTAGTCGAAAAGCCACCTTAAGTAGGAGACTCCACAGAGATTTGTTTGGCTGTATCTTACATGCAGTATCCAAGGGTATGAGTACTTCCACACACCGGAAAACACCTGCATGCCGTGATGCGCATGTCAAATAGTGACAATAAGAAAAAAATGTAAACAATACTTACTCGACTAAAAAATCACTGTAGGGCCCCTTTAAGTAGCACTAATTCAGGTTAATTAATATAATATGTGAAAAATATTCACAGTTGTTTCATGCCAGATTTGCGAGTTGTTTAATAATTACAATGTATGTACATATAAATATATCCAATTATCAACATGAATCACCCGACTGATAAAATTGCAGCACAATTTGGATGTTACCATGATTGCTCTATTATAAACACCCCTGTGTGGTGTTGGGCTTATAGAAGATGATGCAAACTGCAGGGATTTCTAAAAGATCAGGTTAACTGGCCTATCTGCCCATGTATCTAGTTAACCCATCGAGTCTTGTAAGCCTTTCATCATCTGGTGACGTGTAGGGTTTGATGAAATGATTTCTTTTCCTGGTATGCTCAGTCAAAGACCTAACATTTGAACAGTCAAAGAAATCATTCATCATCCTACAGAATTGGGCTGTGCCACTGATATCTTCTTTCCCACTTTCCTCTAATGCAATTGCCACAGAACGACTCAGAACTTGTGTTGCCAACTTTACTTTCATTTTGCTATAAGATGTTAGCACGATATGATCAAGTGAAAGTTTGGGCAAAGTATGTAAAGCAAATTCTTGATCACTGTAAAATAGATCTGCGATGTGCTTGAACAATAGATAGTGGCCATCAATCCACATTAATCTGCTGCATGAACCTGAGCCAGAGCTATACAAACAGTTCCGGGCGGTCTTAATCAGATGACAGGCATCAGCAAAAAAAATAAATGAAACGTTCCATTGCAAAAACGTTTTGTACCTTATGAATGACATCAACTTCTAGATCAGTCATGAACTTGGAATGAAGCTGAAAAAACTAACGATTTCGTGACGCACCATCGTTCACCGCAGCACAGACCCATAAGTCCAATGAGAACTCAAGGACACCAACAACTCTCCAGAAGATAGAGATTAACTGGTAAGAGGTAACATTTTCAGTGAAATAATATGCAATGACATGCTTGAGGTCACTGCACATTCCTCTTACCAGAAATGCCAAAGCATGAGTGGCCATAACATCTTCATCCCCAAGACTTGCATTGGTCATTGGATCTCCGAGATCTACAAAACCAATCAAGTCGCCTGAGTACTTGTCAAAAACAAGGTTGGACTGGATTTTCATTTCATCCATTACCTGGACTACGTAACGTTGTATGCCAGACAGTGCTGCTGATTTATCTCGAAGGGTTTCAATGTTCTCAAGGTTGATGCCAGCCTTGGGTTTAAAATAGTTTTTGTAGTCTCTCAAGGCACGTTCACTGGGAAGAATCAGAGCTCCACTCTCCCTGACTTCTCGATATGCAGCTGGAGATTTTCCGTGCAAAGATAGTGCAAAACGGATAATCTGAGGATGATATCTTCGTCCAAACTTTTCACTTTTTAAAAGCTTCATCTGCTGCTCCCAAAAGAATTTTATATGGGGGGGTTGTCTCATGATTCTGACCACTCATGATTTTCAGAATATCATTCTCCAAAGCGCTGCTAATTTCCACACCATCATCCTTAATTCTCGCTTCCAACTCTTTGATCCTTGATCACAGTTGCCACCAACTTCTCGGAACTACAGGATGATAGGGCTGTGTGCATGGTGTTGGTTTACAATATGGAGGCTAACAAATTCACATTTGCAAAGTAATATTTTTGCCAAAGTAAAGACCAGCCAAAGTCAAAACTTTACTTAACAGAAAGTTCTAGTTCTAAATTAAACAAAAACATTTCAAAACATTATTATGTTGGTATTTATGCAGTATTTAGTGTAACATACCGCGAATGCTTAATAATACCAGCTATGTAAAATCTAAAGATTTCTATTTCTATTTCTGAATTATGGTACAAAATGATGAGACAATGCCAAACTTTCAATACATATAAAAAAACTCGATATTATTGAATAAAAGTGAGCGAAAACTAATGATTTCGTAGTTTACTGTTTGTCCAATACATATTGTCTGCAACTTTAACTTCACAATATTCCTTTACACGCACGCAAGATAGTTAAATTTAATGTTCTTTCACATGAGCATTTGCATCTCAAACGTTCTTTTCAATTTCCACTAGTTAAATTCAATTTTTCTTTGTGTGAAATACATGTTAACTCGTGCAACAACGTTTGTCCAAAATGCGTAGCCGTATCTTGTTTACGCACGGTTAGGCCGTTTCTTGGCATGCTTACGCACGGTTTCACATTCCATTGACCATGCGTAAAATGCCTTCAGGCACTATTTACGCATGGTCAATGTCCGCCTCTGATAAGTTCATGGTCGTATATATACCCTTGGATAAAAGACCCAATGCTTAATTAATTAAGCGCAGTTTATTGGCAGAGTTTAGGCATGGTTACGCACACTTACGCACGGTTATAAATATATTCTATAATATCTTGTAGAAACATTAAAGTTGCAATACAATAATTTCTACATGATGCATTTTAAACTCTTTCTGTGTATTTAATTGCATTTAGACTTCAGACACAAAATATTATAGTTGTTATGGATATGGCTCGTGTCAGAAAAAAAATTTTCTTCCATGCATGCATGCACCGCGTCAGTTAAAGATTTTATAGGCACGGCGTACCGTGCCTAACTAGTTTCCATTCGGGCTTTTAGGCACGCTTTAGCACGGTGTAAATCAATACACGATGCAAAAGTTGGATTGTTATTTTCGTTGCCTGACTAAGACTAAGTTGTAGTGAAGCTTATAGCGAAGGCAAGATGGGAAAACCTAGCAGCAGTGAAACTATAAGATTAAGGGAGGGCAAAAAGAGAAAGGAAGAGAAAGTGCGCGAAACAAACGTTACTGATAACAGTGTGACAAAAAAATACCACTGGGCGCTATATAAACGGCGACAACGGGCAAGGGCCAAAGAGGAGATAAAGCAAAAAGAGGAAAAGTCAAGAGCCACAAAATCTAAATGCAGATGCAGTAGCGAAGTGTCTGGTCAGTCTGGTGACAAAATTTTCCCGACAAGAATGGCTAAAAAGCGGAGAGTCGATTTAGTAAAATCGCAGCTTCCTAAAAGTCCAGCGAAGAAAATAGCTGTTGTGGCTGCACTCATCGAAAGCCCAACAACAAGGAAAGGACTTGAGAACAGAGGTCTCGTTGTTTCAGGGGAAAAAAGTGAAGAAGCTGAAGTTGCTGTTTCTGCGTTGCGCGACGAGCGAGATGCCATTAGCGACACAAAAGGTCAACGATCTAACGACTCTCGGGCAGCTACTCAGACAGCTCTTGGCTTTCTTTGTGGTGAAACAATTCAAAAGAAACGTATGAAGACAAAAGTATCCAAAATGCTTAATATAAATAGGAAACGCATTGGTAAAGCATTTAACCATCGCACCAAAGTACTTAAAAGCAAGAAATCTTGTTGGACCTATACAGAACGGCGAACTAGGTCTGATGTCATCCCCATAGAACATTGAAAGCTCACACACAACTTTTGGTCTAGCCCCGATATTTCCCGGACAACCCCCAATAAAAAAGACATCGTAAGAAGGAGGTTAGCACCCAAAACATACGTAACACACGCCAAACAAATCCTGGAGAAAACTCAAACTGAAGCATACCTGGAGTTCAAACAGAAATATCCTGATATTCAAATGGGACAGCGTTCATTTGAAAGCTGCAAACCCTTCTATATTTCCATTCCACAGTCCCAAGATAGAGTTTCTTGTTGCTGCCGCATACACATTGAAACTAGGATGATTTTTCAGTCATGCATGGAATTCAGACGACAACTCTCTCACTGTCCCGAAGAGTACGTGGTGTACAAACATACGACTGATTTGGTCAACAATACATTGTGTCCAAAACAAAAAAATGAAGAATACCATCATCCAGACTGCCTTCTTCAGAAGTGCAAAAATTGCGGAGTAGCGGGCTTTAAAATATTGGAGAAAGAAAATTATTCCACTGACGCTGCACCATTAGTAAAATGGCGAAAGTTTGAGTATGTCATCGTGTTAACGATGATAACTCAGACAAAAAGAAACTCAAGTTAGTTGACAAATTAACTTCCCCAGATGAAATGTTTGCTTGCTTTCAAAATCTCCTGCAGACCTATCCTGCGCACCAATTCCGAGCTAATTGGCAAAATCAGCAGCTTCGTGAGCTAGTCGAGAATATACCAATTGGCCATGCCGTGGCAATTCACGATTACTCAGAAAACTACTCGTGTGCGATGCAGGATCAGATCGAATCCCTTTACTTCGCGCAAGTCCAAGCATCGATTCACGTTACTATTCTACATCGCCATGCTCTGATGAATGTGGATGGAATCGAAAGCACGGAAGAAAACCCATCCCCTGTAACAGAACATATTTTTGTAATCTCTCCCGACCACCACTCGGTACATAGTGCTAGAAAATTCATGGCTGGTTATCTCAAGGAAATAGGTATGAAATTAAAACTGTATAAGCCTTATTAATTACAATATTATATATTCCCCAGTAATATCGCTGAACTGGTTTAAAATGTTAGGTTCGTAGTGATATGGCTTGAAATCTGGTTAATTTAATAAGAACTAGTACTATTTGTTGAGAATTGACGTTCATCAATTGACTATAAGTATAGCCACTTGGCCAGGCACGGTCTAGCACGGTCTTTCTCAATAAGGCCAAGTTTTTCAAAATTTCAATGGCATGGGCAAATAATTGCAACGATATTTTAGGGAAAAAGAAATTAAGCTAATTGCGAAAATTATATAGGTTATGACCTGAAAATTATGCATGAATGGACAGATGGATGCTCGACGCAGTACAAAAGCCGCCACTGTCTGGGCGACGTTGCCCAATCATCTTCAGATTTTGGCTACGTAACCATCCGTAACTACTTTGAAACTTCACATGCAAAAGGTCCTCAAGACGGTGCCGGGGCTAACCTTAAACACAAAGCTGACATGGCTGTCATTAAACGGCAGGTAATGACTCACTCATGATCTTAGCTATTCTTCATCCATTTCGCAGATAATTTAAATGGTAGTAGCCTAACTCTGAAATCCCTGGTCTTGATTGGCTAACTTTCGCGGTATATATATAATTAACTCTATAGTAACTCATACAACCAGACCCTGGCTATAAATTGCCTACTATACTGTTTTCATTAGTACTATATAAAGGTCACGACTATATACTTGCAAGCGCAATTTCTGCACAGTATCAGAGCCATGTTATGCGAAATTTTTACGCCCTGTGCCAGAAATTGTTTGCAAGTTGCACCAAAAATTGCGTTGCAAGTTGCACCAAAAATTGCCTCGTGTAACATGGCCTTAAACTATTTAACTCTTAACAAAACCATATTTTTTTCTTTCATGTAGGTTGTCATTCGAAATGCGAAAAAATTGTACGAGTTCGCTGAGAGTACAATGAAAGATCCAGCGCCATCGCGATACCAGTCTGAGAGTGTTAAAGTGAAATGGCGTATATTTTTCTACGACAATGAAATGCTCCGCAACCGGAGAGATAGATATTTTAAAGAAATCAAGGGGAATAGATCTATCCATGCAGTCGTGTCAACGGACGGTGGTTGCAGTTTAAGTTCGAGGTTTCTGTCGTGTTACTGCGACGCATGTTTAGATTGGTCCTACGCATCATGTGAAAATTCTGCGTATGTTGATAACTGGGAAGAGCAAGAACTGGAACGAGAGGGTGGTCATCAACCCACTGTCGTTACCAGAGGGGACGTTTCTACGACACTAGAAGCAATAAAACACCTAGCAACGAAAGATGCAATTGTCACATTGCTTCTGCTGACAGAGGAGTATTATTTACTTCAAGTAATTGGAGAGGTGCTATTGACTGAGGAAAGAGATGATTGGGGAGCTACATACCCACCAGGAGCCGAGATCATTTGCGGATATTTCCTTGCCAGAAAGCGAGCTTCAAGTTCTCCCTATTATTACGAACTAGTAAGAGAGAAAGAAGCTGCTGTTTATGCTGCAACTGTCAGGTATATTTGTCCCGAATTGCGCGTATCCAGTATCCAAGCACAACCACTGTTATACGAAATTTCCGAAGAGCTACATATGGATATACTCGAGTCTTTGCATGGATTTTAAGCAATTATCATTGTGTGCATGACACAGCATATTTTAATGTGCGGAATTTTTGTACGCTCGGGTCAAGTATAATAATTTTGTATTATTATCTGTTCCACGTAATATTATAACATATTATAATAACATTACAATATAATATTGTAATATTATTATAATATCTGCCTTTCGTACCTATACTGTTTGCGCATATCAAATTTCATATCTTGACTTCGAAGAGAGCGTGATGAGAAATCTTTTATACTATGTGCCTATGCCGCACAATAATATATTTTCCACTCTGAATGAGCATGAAATTGCACTTTCTTGAGCAAGTCGCATAACTTACACGCCACATGTTTATAATGGAAATATGTTTAAAAATGTCATTATTAGAGCATTATTTCATATGGCGCACACAAGTACATTACGCAGCCTGTTATATTGCCAGGTCAAACGCGTGCACGCTAAATATGTGACAGTCTTAATTAATATTTTGAAATAAAAAAATATTATGCGACAAATTCCACCATAGACAGCATTGATTACCCAATGCCAAGTCACTATCGCGCATATTATGCAGCATATGCTGTTTTCCCAATGCTGGTGTCTGGTGACTGTTCATTACTTTAGATCTAAAGGTACAGACACACCGGTTCGATTTTCCGATTTTCACTGACCGTTAACTTTGATCCTAGCTTAAATTTTCTAAATATTTAGAAGCGTTATAACTATTATTATTATTATTATTATTATTATTGATCTACATATCTTTTAAAATTTGCTCTCATTGGCTGTTTTATTAACTTTCAAAAACTAAAAAATTGCGTGGCGTTGTCAAATCATGTCCGGTTTTAGTACAGCGTTCCTATTTGGCAGCGAACACTTGTAAATAATTATAGCTTAACACCTTAATTTCATGTTAATCCCTGTTAATTATCTCTTGACAGCAATTTTAATAGCTTTTACGCTATAGGCTATGTTTTATATATGTGAAAACTGTGGTTGCTGTGAATTATTACAGGTTACGCTACTCGAGAGGAACCACATCCGCGCTGTGGGAATCGAACTATAGAAAACCAAAGGTCGCTGGTTTGATTCTGACCACGATTATCAGGGCAAGCATTTTCAGCTAATTGCGCATGGTGCTTCCCATAGAGTAGCGTCACCTGTAATAATATGTTAGTTTAAACGTTAAAACGAAAACGTTTTAGTAATTATGAAATTTTATTGACATGGCACAACAAAATGCTAAAACTTGTGTATACAATATAGAGCGATAAGAACTCATAAAATTGTCATAAAATGTAGTCACAGTATCGATCCCATTAGATTGTAAACGGGCAGTGACAAGGACTGATTTATAATAGCAATTACCCGAAACATAGCGTTTAGCTAGCCTGACGATTTAGTCCCGCTATGCAAATATTTTCTTGTTCATTGACTGTGAAAACAATCAATTTCTAAAGAAATGAATAATGATAATTTTGAATATGCATAGCAGGACTAAATTGTCGGGCTGGCTACGCCACTGGAAACATTTTATTCAGGGTCTTTTGCAGAACAGTACTTTCTCATGTGATTGTTCATTGCCTTTATAGCATCACCCCATGACTCGTTCGAATAAAAATGTTCGTAGCCTTTTTTAATTCATTAAGGTATTTGTATTTAATCCTTTTGATTTGGGCCCCGCTCCATACACAGTACAGTTTATGCGCTCTTCAGGCGTTGTATACTCCTTTAATAACAACACTGCAAAATAAGCGTCTGTTGTCCCTCTTTTTTTCTTTAAGTTCAGAGCATCCAATTCTGCCATTGTGAGTTCTCTTCCATGGACATGAGCATTTTCAGCGCCATAGTGTTGGGATTCGTCAGGTGGGTTAGTGAAATTAATCCGATTCTGCTCAGCTGCTTCAGGGACAGACGATCTGGTACTGGGACGATTCAAGAAGCCGTTGTTTTGCAGGCAATCAATGATCAGTCGTTGATTTGCCAACACCGCATCAACGTTTTGAAAAATGCCATCCATTTTCTTGTTTATTTGGTTCAATATTGGTGGGTGTTCTGCATGACCAGGCAAAATATTTTCGAAATTATTTGGGCTGCGAGAACGTGGGAAATTAATTTCTTCCAAAAATCCAGCTGGTAAACCCGACTGCACAGGAGTAGAAACCCAGGGCTCTGATTGCCCAACCGAATCAAAAGAGAGATTATTAAGGGAAGGACTATTCCAAGACAAAGAAAATGCATTCGAGTTCGTAGATTCTGGACTGAAGGACGGGGCATTTAACTCGTTTAAGAATGTGGAATATGGAATATTATTATCAGATGTTAGACCAAGGGTTACGGGAGTTACGGGTTGTAAGTTAGAACTCAAAGTTGGGAGAGATGATTGAACAGTGGAATTAAAAGATGGTGAGACCACAGGAAGAACAGAAAATATATTATTTGAGGCAGCTAAACTTCATGGAACAGATGCTAGAGGTGATGTGATGGTGGGCAAAATAGATTCACGATTGTGGTTTGGAATAGATACGACAGGATGGATGTTTGAGCTGTACGATGATGGAAGAGCGGTGAACGATGAAGAACCAGTTGAATGTAAAATAGACAAGGAAGGAATAATGGGTGCAGCAGTTGAAAGATTGTCGTATGAAACAACGGTGGCAGGTAAAACAGATGAAGCAGCAGATACGAATGGAACTGCTGAAGCACTGGTGGTTGCAAGATTCGTTAGAGGACTTAGAGGTCGTATAGCAGTGACAGGAGAATTGACAGAAATGTTATTGCTTTCATCAGCAACACTTACAATTTCTTGGCTAGTGGTGACGACTGGCAGCTTCTCTAGGTCTAGGCATGTTGCTTTCTTTTTCGTGTCAGCTGATATTTGTGGGCATCTTGACATGTTTTTTTTCCAAGTTTCAATAAATTCTTTGTCTCCCGCAGTCATCGAAGTATTAAAGTTGTCTTTGAGAACTTCGTTTCTTTTTTTTTCCAATTCTTTCAAGTCATCTGTAATTGGGTAAACTGACAATTAGACACATGTCTTCTCTCTATTGCTTATATGCATGCTGTTTACCATGACAAATCAATTTTACTGCCGTTACTCGTTAGTATTCACATTAATACAATATATTATAGCAAATAATACACTAAAAATGTAATTATTTAATACAATACAATCTTACCTTCTAAAAAGATAATTTTGGCTGGTAGATCAGGGTTTTTCTTATCCCAATAAACCCGAACCATTTTTCCCTCGCGTGCTGACCCCTCTATGATCAATGACGTCTAGCATGGCTCCAGTGAATTATCAAGAGGAAAGAAGCACAAAGCGAATTTTTTTGGTTGCAAACTTGCTATTTGATGTCTGAGGTCTGAGCATAGTCATAGTAAAACCGCTGTTTTTACTCCAAAGTAGAAAATAATTTGTTTTGTAATTTGTTCTCTATCGCTAGGTTGAAAATTGCTGGCCTTTCGCCTTAAATATTTGATTATATATAAAACTTCGCTCAAGTGACGACTATAAAACGTAGGACAGACTTATATGCCTTTTCCTTATTATCTACGTATTTCCTTACTTCAGTGACAGTGGTTGACAGAAACCCAGATAAAATTTATAAGCGTAAATAAAGATCAACCGCGAAGAGGAAATTATATGAGTCAGAGCACAACGCACGTCTTAGCCTGCATATATAGCAGTCGCTTTATTTTATTGAATTAAGGTTTTGAGGATTTTTGAGTAAATGGCGGGTTAGATGAAGCGACTGCTATATGCAGGCTACACACATCTATACACTATGTCTATGAAATGCCAATACAAAACAATACATACAATATCTATATATTTATACCGCTTAGTATAAGCTACATTCTAATGATCTCTTCACTTTTAAAATTATTTCTTTTGTGTATCTCTTCGTCCTTTGACTTTGTGTAACATTTAATGATAAAATTTTGTTGTGAAAAAATTATTTTTGTTATTAATATTAGTACTGATGTAGATTTTGATGCTAAATGATTTCTATATTATAAAGTGACAACTATAAAAGCGTAGGACAGACTTATACGCCTTTTCCTTATTATCTACGCATTTCCTTACTTCGCTAGTGGTTGACAGAAAACCAGAAAATAAAGATCAACCCCGAAAAGGAAATTATATGAGTCAGCGTGCAACGCACCGACACAAAACAATACCACAATATCTATATACTTATACCGCTTATATAGTAACTTATATAGTCTGCTAGAAAAGTTTTATTTAATGTATTTCTAATCTCTTCACTTTTGAAAATTATTTCTTAGTGTGTAACTCGTCGTCCTTTGACTTTGTGCATGTATAACATTCAATGTGTCAATGACAATGCCAATGAGTGGGATTATGTTGTGAAAATTTATTTTTGTTGTTAGTACATGTTGATTTTGACGCCAAATGATTTCTATACTAAAATTCCCGATCGGGTGGTCAGACCGTTCGGACCGTCAGGTTTGAATATTCACTCTGTATATTGAATTGAAACTACACTAGTTATATACGCCTATATTACTATGTATATAAAATATTTGGTTCACAATTCATTGTATACTGCCACATTATACATAAAATAAGATAGTAAATACATGTACTCGTAAATACAAAACCTAATGGCAAGAATGCACGAAATTACTGTATACGGCAATATTATAACTTTACATAATCGTTCTGGCGTCAATAGAACACAAGCAATCACCTTATTTGTTTTATCTACAATGATTTTGAAGTGAACATATACGCAGCAAACGCTTACGTATCAAAATTTGAAACCAGACACTTATTTTACTAGTTTTGTTGACATTCTTCATTAAAGCAGAGTGCCAAATAACGCACGGTTACGCATGTACACTTACACACGGTCATCCTGTTTGTAAATTGTGCCGGTCGGGAAATGTTATCGGCTGCAAGGATATATGACACTAGGCACGCTGAACTTAAGCAGCAGCGTGCCTAATTAGCTTAGGCACGGTCTTGCGTGCCAAGACCGTGCCTAACAGTGCTTTACGCACGCTTACGCACGGCAGACCGTGCCTGTTACGGCTTTGGGTATCAACACTGTGCACACAGCCACAGGGGAGCCTTACTTTTTGCTGGAACACTAGCTGCCACCAGTACCCATTCAAGCCACCACATCACCTCAAGGCTCTAGTGCTAGCACTGCAAGCACGTTGTTACTACAGAATCAATATTCAAGTCAGCTTGATACATCAAATGAAAATGGAATGCCAAATTTGGGTCAGCCTTCTATGTCAACTGTGAATCAACCCCAACCAGTAGAGTATCCTAACATACCAACCACATCTGCATCACCCGAGAACCCTGTAGGGCATCCAGCTTGTCCAACCAATCAATCATGTAGCACAAGTAAAATTGCCAAAATTAATCCTTAAAAGGTTTTCTGGGGATCCTAGTCGATGGAACCTATTCTGGGATATATTTGAAGCCTCTATCCACAACAATCCCTCCTTAGCACCAATTGATAAATTAAATTATCTCAAGTCTTTCATGGACAGAGCTGCTGCTGAATCCATTGCTGGATTGTCCCTAACTAATGCTAATTATGAAGAGGCAATTGTTATTTTGAAATCAAGGTTTGGGAATAAACAGCAAATTATAAATAGACATATGGATATTCTGTTAAATCTTCCATCAGTTAATTCTGAAAACAACCTGAAGGGTTTGTGCCAACTTCATGATACGGTGCAATCACACATCAGAAGCTAGAAATCTATGGGAGTAGCCCCTGAATCTTATGGTAGCATTCTTTCTTCAATGTTAATGTCCAAGCTACCAACAAATTTACAGCTGGTTGTTAGCAGAGTGGGTTAAGGAAAACGAATGGAATTTGGACAAATTATTAAATACCTTGCAGCAAGAGTTAGAAGCCAGGGAGAGAATTAAGGTACCTGCAACCAACAAGGATTTTAAGAAATATCACGGTTCAGCCTCAGCACTGATGGCCGGTAATAATCCAAGTTGTACAAACTGCAGGGGTCCCACCCATCAAAGGACTGTACAACTGTGACTAGACCTGCTGCTCGTCAAGATATTTACGGAAGATGGGGAGATGTTTTGTGTGCCTAAGAAAGGATCATATCAGTCCAACAACACGGTGCTGCAAGGGGCGACATCATGTTAGCATATGTAAGGGTAAGAAGCCACCTCCTAGGGACCCTCCTGAGGAACATGAGCAAAGTGGATCCAACAAGCCAAAGGAAAAGCCTAGTTTGGGAACCCATCCTGACGCAACCATCTGTCGCACAACCCTCATTGAACTGTGTCCTTCTCCAACCAAATATATAACCCAGATAATCCTAATGGTCCCAAGGTCAAAGTGAGTGAAACTAATCCTGGATGGTGGCAGTCAGTGCTCGTACATCAGCAGTACACTGACAGGAACTCTCGGTCTGCAGTCAAAGGGTCAAAGGTCGGTAAACATTAAAACATTTGGCTCTAACAAGACCAATGCTCAAGTTATTGATGTGGTGAATCTTGGAATAGAAACTGCCTATGGAGCAAACATTGAAATGTTAGCATTTACTGTGCCATTAATTGGTCAGCCATTAAAGAACCAATTCATGTCAAATGCTAGCAAGACCTACCCTCATCTCACCAACCTCCGCCTAGCTGATTACTCATCTGGTCAACACGATGCGAAAGTGGATATCCTGATCGGTTCAGATCATTACCGGAAGATCATGACTGGGAAAACCAGACAAGGAGATAGTGGTCCGACTGCCATTCAAACAAGGCTGGGTTGGGTTCTCTCTGGACCTGTTGGAAACGAATTGCAGAAATTAACCCATACCAGCAATCTTGCTACAATCCACACCCTCAAATGTGCCTCCGAAGAAGCTGAGTGTAAGAATGATGTCCTTGTACAAGAACTGAAGAGATTTTGGGACTTAGAAACTCTTGGTATTCAACCACAGTGTGTGTACGAAGAATTCCTAGAAAGCATTAAGCATGAAAATAATCATTATGTGGTGAATTTGCCATGGACACCTGATCATGCTCAACTGCCTGATAACTATGATCTTAGCAAGAAATGTCTATTAAGGTTGCTGAAGCGACTGCATAATGAGTCAGAAGTCCTTAAGGAATATGACAATGATAAGAGATCAGCTTAACAAAGGAATCGTGGAGTCTGTGCCCGAACCAAATGAAGGAGCCAAGAGAGTGCACTATTTACGTCATAACGCAGTTATCCGGCAGGATAAAGCAACAACAAAATTGCGAGTAGTGTATGATGCCTTGGCGAAGTCAAGAGGACCTTCGCTTAATGACTGTCTGTGTAGCGGTCCCTCGCTGACTCAGAACATTGCTGACATCATGCCAAGGTTCCGTGCATACAAGGTGGCCTTAACGGGAGATATCGAGACGGCCTTTCTCATGATTCGTGTAGCAGTCTGATAGAGATGCATTGAGATTTCTGTGGATCGATGATATACACAGCCCAAACCCTAAGATTATCCCACTTCGATTCACCAGAGTAGTGTTTGGCATATCCTCCAGTCCTTTTCTACTACATGCCACAGTCAAACACCACATCGAGAAATACCGGGAGGATGACCCTAGTTTCGTGGAAGCTGTTCTGAATTATGTTCTGATCTATGTGGATGATCTTATTTCCAGAGGTGAAAATGTGCACAATGCATTCAAACTCTATGAAGATTCAAGGAGCTGATTGGCAAAGGCTAACTTCAACTTGTGAAAGATTACCACGAACTCTAAAGAACTACAAGAGCGGATATGTCAAACCAACCAACTAGTGACAGTGAACAATGCACCTGACGGAAGCAACATGGCCAGAGCTGATAGCAACAAGTCCCAGCAGTTGGTTGAGGAGGAGCAGTCATCTTACACCGGAGGTACGTTGGGTCCTCCCCCTCCAGCAAGCGATGACAAGCGGAAAATTCTCAGAACCTTATGGGATTCTTACGAGGACAATCTTATTATTGATATCAAGGATGTTGCAGATTTGGCGCAGATGGTTCAAGCTATGAAGAGAAATGTGATCAGTATTTCTTTCAAGATTTATGATCCTATGGGTTTTATATCCCCATTGACAATCAATTTCAAGCTGTTGCTTCAAGAACTTTGTCTGGCAAAGGGTGACTGGGACCATCCACTTGAAGGAACACTGAAATGCAACTGGCAGAAATTAGTTGATAACCTAAAGGAGGTCCAACCTCTTGTTATTCCAAGATGCTATATTTTTGACATACACAAGCAAGTTATATCCTACGAGCTTCACAGGTTTTGCGATGCATCTATCAAAGCATATGCAGCCGTAGTATACCTCAGAATCATCACACCAAATGTCTCTTATGTCCGGTTGGTGATATTGAAGGCAAGAGTGGCACCCTTAACTAAACAAACGATTCCAAGGTTGGAGTTACTGTCAGCACTTGTGCTTGCCAGATTAATGAACATTACTCAGAAAGCCCTGAAGTCTGTGATTGAAATCTCGAAGGTGCAATGCTGGATGGATTCTAAGGTTGCATTATATTGGATTATGTAGCAAGAGAAGAAATGGAAACAATATGTACAGGGTCAAGTGGAAGAGATTAGAGTGCTGGTTCCTGTAGAGTATTGTAGTCACTGCCCAGGTGCAGAAAACCCTGCAGACATTCTGTCTTATCCTGCCTACTCAACTAGCATCAACACCCAAAATGGTTGTCCGCCACAGAGCCCTGCTAAAGAGAACATTGATGACGATGTTGTACCTGAAGAGTGTCGAATTGAGATGAAAGTCAAGGACCAGAGAGCTTTAGACAAGGATACACTTTCAACGATGATAGTGCATGGATTGAAAGATTCCATAAGCAATGTTATTAACTGTAAGGACTACAGTAGCCTGGGTCATTTGCTAAGAGTAACGGCTGTTGTCTTGAAGTTCATCAAACTGCTAAAATCGAGAGTTAAACTGGAAGATCCTCCAACAAACTCGGAAGTTACAAGCACCGACATCGAATTAGCTTGAGTTCTATGGATCAAGAAACTGCAGGAAGAAATTAAGTTGAACGAGAAATTCAAATCCTGGACCCGAGACCTCAGCCTGTTTACTGGTGAAAATGGAATTGTCCGATGTAAGGACAAACTTGCCATATTCAGCTAAGTATCCAATCCACGACTCATTACCTTACCACACTAATCGTACGGGATTGTCACGAGAGGGTAATGCATGGGGGAGTAAAGGCAACATTGACAGAACTTCGGTCGAAATTCTGGTTAGTGCAAGGAAGGAACTTTGTAAGAAAACTCCTCTTGAATTGTGTCACCTGCAGGAAGCAAGATGGTAGAGCATAGAAGGCACTTAACTCTCCGCTGTTGCCGGAGTTTAGAGTAAAGGAAGAACAACCGTTTACGTATGTTCGCTTAGACTACATCGGTCCCGTATATGTGAAATCTACGAACGATTTAGACGAGAAAGCATGGATTTGTTTGATTACCTGCTGTATTTCTAGAGTGGTCACAAGCCTTCCTGAGGGGTTTTATATTTACGCCACGACTTTCGACGCCATTGCTTGTCGTGTTGGACAACGCAAAAACCTTTAAGGCTGTGTCCAAAGAGTTAATAACATTCATGCGTCATCCTCAAGTGAAGAAATATTTCTTGCAGCAACGAATGCAGTGGTCGTCTAATCTGGAGCAAGCCCTGTGGTGGGGATGTTTCTTTGAACAGCTTGTGGGATCATTGAAACAATGTTTGAAGGAAACCATCAGAAAAGCAAGATTGTCTTATGATGAGCTAGTTTCAGCTGTCACAGAAGCAGAATCGATCCTGAACAGTCGACCTTTATCCTATGTATCCCCCAAGGACGTCGAGGAACCCCCTTACCCCAGCCCATTTTCTGAGCGGAAGACAGATCCTGAGTTTACCTGATTGTCATCAAGAGAACCCTGAAGACGAAGATTTTCAAGTCGACCTATCGATGAATGACCTCAACAAACAAAGTTTGCTAGCTAAATGATATTATTTAACACTTTTGGCGAAGATGGCGGAACAAGTATTTGGTAGAGCTGAGAAATGCACATAAGAGTTCTAAGAAAACAGTAGAGAAATCTTCTGTGGAAGTTGGAGATATAGTACTAGTTCACGACGAGAACCATCCATGTAGTTTCTGGAGAATTGGAAGAATAAAGGAACTTGTCAATAGCACGGCTGATGGGAAATCAAGAGGTGCAGTTGTACGAGTCATGAGCAAGAAAGGGAAAGTTACTACATTAAGGTGTCCATTACAGCTGTTATATCCTATGGAGATTAACTGTAAACTTGCGAAAGAAGAAGTACAATCGGAACAAGAGAATGGTGCTCAGGATTCAACTGAATCTGAAAGACCAAGAAGACCGGCGATCGCAGGTGAACTGTTGTAAATATACTGCATAGTGTTATATAATTAAAGTGGAAGTCAACTCCGTTCTGTACATCAGTTCTGCTCATAACAATGTGAGGACCCTCTAATGTAAAAATTGCCTACATTTCGAATTTTCGAATTTTTCTGAACATAAATTCTATTTCATATTCGTTTAGAAGCATAGCGAACCCAAATGGTGTTAGATATTCAGACAGTACATCATATTTTAAAAAATACAGCAGTTCAAAATGTAAACAAACCGTTTGTTTACACTAAGGACTTGACTCCCACTTTAAGAACATTCCAATGAAACTTCACGAACAGTCGTAGGGTGTTGGCCATATAAGATACATGTCCAACAGGGGGAATGTGACGTATGCTTGTGTTTTGTTAAAAATATCGTTAGGGTTCACTATATAAATATTACGATAATAAAGTCAATTGAAGTTTTTATAACAGTTCATATTGGTTGGGATGCATTACAATGAAGGACAACAAAGATATGTATCTGTTTGAATGGCAAAAGGTGGCGGTTCAAGAGATATCAATATGCCTGTTGATGCTAATATTCAACATGTTAAAGAAATGTCTGCTTCACTTTTTTCCAAAAAAGCTGACATTTTGGAAAATTAGATGAAATGGAACTTAGTGTTGGAAATTATCGTGGTGATGTTCTAGCTTTATCAAAGGATGAGTCTGGTGTGAGTTGTGTGTTTTGCATTCAAAAGTACTAGAAATACATGCACACAGTAACCCCTTACCCATATTTTCCAAGCATTGATTTAACATGAAGTATTAGAAAATACATGCATGCAGAAACCCCTCGCCTTTCTTAATAGATGAAGTATAAAAACTCCACGTAAAGTATTAAGACCATTATACACAAACATAAAAACACAACTGATATGCTAGTCTATTAAACAATAACATTCGCTGCAATTTTCGTGCATACCAGCTTACATTAAAACACATTTATTGTGAATTATCGAGTTAATGGCTTACAAATGCACATTTATATTATCTTGCAACTAAATTGAATCTGAATTATACAATGTAATATTTACTTTTACAGGATCTAATTTAGATAAGTTGGTTAGTGGAATGCGAACAGACAGCAGAGAAGTTGAGTGTAGAAGAACAAAAGATTAAGGAAATCTTGAAACAGTATGAGAAACTTAAAACTCTGCTTGATCAGAAAACCCAATCTCGAACACTAAACACCAGCACTACTTTGGATACCATATCAACAACCCTAATTCTGGAGTACGCTACTGAAGACAAGGAGAAACCAAAAATGTCCTTGAGTTCATCCATGGTGGTGAAAATGGAGCATTGCTTGGTGTGTGGGACTTTGTGTCAGCAAAAGCACCAAAGGCTATGATGGAAAACCTCATCGGTAATTATAGGAGAGGAAAGTATGTGGAAGGGATGGTAAGAAAAACAATGAAAGATTATACACAATCTAAAAACACATTGTTAGAAGCTATAAATTTTAAATATACTAATTTTTTATCCCGTAGAAAATTTAATGTCCTTTGCAAAACTCAATCATCTGTTTTTGATATAAGAATAAGAATGTGTGGGTGCCAAGGAATGTTAAGTGTATGTTAAGTGTATTGAAATTCAACCCTCGCTTTCCCATATATCTAATGAAAGTATTGAGAAATTCGTCAAAACCCTAGATATTGGTTGTGTTTGTCAAATTCCTGATGTACCTGGTGTCACTAGGACAATTACAGGCCTCATATTATAATGGACCTTCATTTAAGACTTCCTCACCTCTGCCAGCAGCTTGTCTGGTTTCATGGTAATGCTAACCACTTATCCTTCACCATATGCCAATGTACACAAAGGCAATATGTGCTCAATGGGTAGGAGTATTGGGCAAAGCAATGTAGATTTGTGGAAGCCTTATACTATGACAGAGCAAGAGAAACATCTAGGTATGGTTGATGCATACCTTGCCAGCCTACCCAAAAGTCTAAGTTCACCAACAGTGCATAGCAAGAAGTTCGCATTTATGGCTGATAACGGGATATGCCAGTTAGGAAAACCCAGAGGGATTTTCGCTGACCGGGTTAAACCTGACCCCTGGCACTGGGAGATAAATGCCTGGCAGCACATCCTTGATTTACTGAATCACTTATTCTGAATCACTTCTACGATGTTGCTTTGAAAAGTTTATTGAGACATTATCAGCCCCCATTGGATCGAGTGGTCAAAATTCTCTCAATGATGAATTATCTGAAAATCATGCCACTCCTAAAAGGGCTGGGTGTTGATAGTGCTCTTGAATCCACTGATGTTATTAATAGAAGTTTTGCAGAAGAAGAGATTGGAGTGAGTTGCCAAAACTCAAGCCTTTCGCCAGACATGCTTAGACACTTTTCTGTCTTGGAGTTGAGCAAAGGTGCTGCCTCTGACAACATGATGGCAATGCTGGAGACTTCAAGATTTGCCTCTTCTAATACCCTTTCTCATGTGCAAAAGATGTGGTCTGGCATTCCTCTCAACCAAGATGAGAGAACATTATGCAGATGAGGCTAAGTGGTCAAATAAACTCAGTGTTAGGCTTATTGGAGCACAAGCTATTGCCCTGGCAAGGTATTCTTACTGAATTGTTGACTCCTTGCAAACAGCAAATGAAACTGAGGGTGAAAAATTACAACGACTAGCTCTTGGAAAGATAGTGCAGTACTTGAGAAATGTTGGAGGATTGTTTAATAAAGTTTATGTTAACATTCCTGGAGAGATTTCTCAATTAAATGAATTCTGTACACTTTATTTCAACTTGTTTCATATTAATCTGACACTGCAATCGAGCAACGAAAAATTCGTTGGCTCGAGCGGGATTTGAACTCGTATCTTCATGATCTAGACTGCCGCTCTACCTATTGAGCTATCGAGTCAACCGGGAATGGTAGCGAGTCTTATCCAATTTAAGTGCACGAAATATTTTCGTGATTATTTAACGCTTGTTTTAGAGGACAAGTGTTAAGTTGTTATGAAAATATTTTCGTGACAACTTAACGCTTGTCAAAAGGTGGAGCGGCAGTCTAGATCCCGAAGATGCGAGTTCAAATCCCGCTCGAGCCAACAAATTTTTCATTGCTCAATTGCAGTGTCAGATTAATATGAAACTAGTTTTTCGTATCTCTGAGGATGGTTCTGAAATAGAATTATTTCAACTTGTTGGTGCTATTCTTTCCACACAGTGTGAATGTGACTGTTTGGCCAGTTGCTTATGCTTTGCCTTACCATGCGAAGCAGTTGTATGAAAAGTATGGAGTTGGGTATGGTATGCTCTCATAACAGGCCAAAGAGTCAAAACATGCTGGACTAAAGGGTGAACTTTATAAGACAAATGGGTCTCGTAGCACTGATAAGAATGGAAAGTGGTGGCAATGAGATCAAATTACAACCCCCTCATTGTGACATACCAAGATTCTTTGATTGTGGAAGAGAGAGAAAGATGATGTAAACCACACAGAATGCAAATTCTGTTGTGTGTGCCATTGTTGTCACATGTGCTCAAAAGCAATTGCTTTTGCCTGATGTTGCTGTTCTAAAGCCCTGTGTATGTACTTGTCTGTGACAAAAGGTTTGCTGACAAAGCAGGGTTGAAGGTGCACCAAGACACCATGCATGGTTCATGATCTTCCAGGTTGGTGAATCCTCAGCAGTCATTGCGAATTTGTCTGTAGATCAACTTCGCCTTTTGCGGGAAAAAGGCCTTTCTGTTTCTGGTAAGAAAAGTATTCTGTTGACACACCTGGAAAACGAACTTGCGGGAGAGTTTTAGTTGTCTTATTTAATTCCTTGTACTGTAATGTAGGTTTCTGTAATTGTGTTGTTTTAGGTGAAGCCTGTTTTTGATGTATGCTTGTGAGGGATATACTTTTGGTTTCTGCAAACCTAGGTTGGCATGCACTTTTAGGCTGCCAATGTTGGGTTGAGTGTTTGGTTGGCGAGTGTTATATCTTACTAGTATGTCATATAATTAGTTAGACCATGTAGGCAATCATATAATATCTACTGTACCCTACAGTACTGTATATAGAAGTAGGCTTTTTCTTTCATCCATTTGGTTGTATTATATAATTACATACCTCTGATCATAAATAAGAAAATTGTTGAGACTAAAAAACAAACGTTTTGCAGATGTGTTTAAGTATTATATAGTTTTGTTTTGTACAAAACAAAATGTAACCTTATTTAGGCGGCCCCCAGTTACACAATACCGGATTCGCTTTGGACCGACATCAATTTAAGGTGTTTTCCAGTCAAGTGTATGCTATTACAACTTTTCATATTTGAAGTTTTTGTTTAATTATGTTATGTTATCATCATTTTAAGTTGCCAAATTCCCCTCAAAACAGTAAAATTTGATGTTGCTCCGATGCAAATCCGGTATCTTGTAACTGGGGCATTTTTTAGATAAACAAAACTATATTTTACTTTTGCTAAATCTACAAAGAACTGAATTTATTTGTAGTTCTCTAGATGAAAAAGTTCTCTTCTAAAATCCACATTTATTTTCATAATCATTTTGTGAACTAAAATGCATTATTCAGAACAAATTTGTTTTCACAACCAACATTTTTTTTATTTCTTGTATTAATCCATTAACACTCCCAGTGCCTTGGGGGTACTGGGTTAAAGCAAACCTGCCACATATTTTCATAATGCAAGACTACTGAACCCTGAATGGTTTATTTCTGAGTGTGAATTTAATGTTGCTGTTAACTGTTTTGTAGTAACAGGTTGCAGCATAGTTTTTGTCCTAGTCGAGTAGCATTTTCATGTTTTTGGTACGGTATTTACAATTATCCACAATGCACACAGCCAGACAATTTTCATTGGCATGCAAGGCAAAAATGGCCTAATTTATTGAAATGTCTCTTCTTGAGAAAATTACTCCTACCAAATCTCACCGGTGAAAAAACTTTTGTGGCGGTCTCAGACGACTGAATAGTCACAGTGAAGCTCAGCCTGCTGCTTTTCATATCACCACCATAGCCTACCATTACATTGCACAAATGCCGAAATATTGTGAATGGCACGAACAACTTCACTGTTAGCATAAGGCCAGTGTTTCTCAACCGCCCAAGCTTTGAAAACATCCCCTTCCCTAGCTCACAAAGATACCCATCAATGAGGGGACCGGTTAGCTCAAACTTATTAGCAGCTCTCTCTTCAAGTATAGTGTAGAGACTTCGCATGCCATAATTTGGCTTCTCTTTGCACTTCCAAACTGTGTCCAACCACAGCTTTTCCACAGAAAATTTCATAACCACCACGGAAAACAAGGAGGAAAACAACGTAGCAACTGACCACTGTGTTATTTGAGAAAAACGTGTCTCCTGCTTAAGGCTGGCCCCAACCACATCTGACCTTGCGAAATGGCCCAATTCCTCAAAGTTATAACTGTCCAAAGGCAAAGAGAAGGGCACCTTATATGCAAAATGAACTAGACAATACCACATAACTCAATGGTATCGGTAACCTGTGAATCGTTGTATCACATTAAGAGCATTTGTTTAGTGTTACCAGCCCTTGGAAAGAATCTCATATTCAAACGATAAACAGCATTCCCCTAGATGGGCCACAACCCACAACTGGTTTACTTGATAAGATATATATATATATATATAACGCTCCCTGTGATCAACGCTCGTGAGGCGAGTGAGGTAAAACAGCATATATCGCTCTGCCCCAACCAAGGGAAAAATCAAACCAAAGAGAACAAAACGTAATTAAACAAATACATAGACCAATTGCAAATCTTAGTGGCTGCGCCTTCATACTGCACGAGAACGAGGCTTATGCAAAAACAAAACAATTTCTATATTTTTATATAGCGAAAAGTGAATTTTAGGGTTTTTAAAGTGTTTTTTCTTGAATCTCTTTGATCTCTTCTTAATATTTCGTGCTAAGTTATATAAATATTTGTTAAATTTATCTAAACATCGATTTCCCACTATATTTTTAGTTTTTTACCCGCTTTGGAGAGATATTTCATTGTTGTTTTAGCATGCGATGGAACAAACATATGGAAAAGGTCAATCTAGACTTTCAAATCTGATCAAGATGCAAATAAAATAGTCAGTATAACTTAACAAACTAAAATATAACTGTTTCTACCCAAATTTTTTTAGACTTCGTGCGAGAAAAAAAAATTTGTCAAAGGATAATAACATAAAATTTCTACAAATTTTGCCCGACATTTACTTTCATATTTTTAAAGTTGAAATCGAAAACTTGCTATTATATTACAACTGAAACAAAATTAATCAATGTTACAACTTATTCTTTGAAATGTATTAATAAAACAGACGGAAAATACCTGATTCTTCCTCTGGTATACTCTGCTTCTTTAATATTGGACGGCGAAAAACAGCAAAACTTTGCCTCGCATGCCACGAAAAACAATGAAATTTGAAGTAAGACTAAATCTATGAACAAGTTTAATAAAGATTTACATAGTCAAAACAAAAATATTGAAAAAAAAATGAAGAGATTACCATAAAAACGTGTCTCAAACACTGAAATTAATTTTTCGCCATATAAAAGTATAGCAGAATGATTTGTTTTTGCATAATAAGCCTCGGTTTCATGCAGTTTAAGGCGCAGTCACTAAGTTTTGCAATTGGTCTATACCTCGCCAGGCTGTGCGGGACGGTGAGCTTGTGGTGCTTCTACAACATCTGGGACATTGACGTTTGCTTTATCTTGATCACGAATGGCTGCGGCTTCGTTAACGCCAGGAACTTCTGCAGGCAAAACTACAGGAACATCATTGGGTACTTGATTGTCTGCCATATGAACAACTCTTCCTTGAGCGTTTAACAAACTGACCCTGAATTACTGAGATCTTATTTGTTTTATAGCCAATGTTATGCATGACTGCATTTAGAATAGTTTGGGTGTTTGACAGTTTGATTATTAATATATTTAGTGTTTGCTGATCAAACACATGAAGATCTTTGTGTTTAGATTTTGTGTGTTTCCCAACTTAATTGAAAAAGCTAATGACTAACTGCACAATACCTTTTGCTGAACATAACTTTGGCCCCTTCGGACATATGTGCTTTGTGATACTCTTGTTCGAATTTCTATCAAAAAACACTATTCAGAGTGTCATTTTCGAGCCTGTGCCTTCAAATTTGCATCTTTTATCACAGTATTTCCATTTCTGGTCCGACTGTGAGTTAATCCCAACCGGAAATACAAAACGTCAAAAGTGCACCAATACATGTGATTTTTTTACTTCATGAGGCTATGGGACACAGATTAAGTATATATCAGATGTGTAACTTCATAGGACTTTGTGTCCTCAAATTTCCATGCTAGTGAAATGGTGTCCTGAAAAACACAAACTTTTGCACTTTACTGCGGCCTTTTTGGATCACAATTTATAGATTAAACAATGAAAAGCATCATTGTTGAATGTTCAAAGTTGTTGAAGGCAATTAAAGTTACAGAGAAGGTGTTGGAAGCATTTTTAAAAGCAAACAATGTATTACCAAATGACGAATTATCATGCAAGCAACACTTACTGGGAAGATAGCAACTGTGGAACAACTTTTTTAGTGAAGTTACAGATCTGTGTATGGTTTGCTCAGTTGATCAAGATCAAAGTTGAGGTAGAGAAGAAATTACATCATTTGCCAAGTTATTTTTGTGTTGCATTTTACGAAAAAAAACCCCGCCTGCCCGACCTAGAAAAATTAGAATGGGAGGATGCTAAACAAGTAATTTTTTTGTGGCCTTATTTGTATACTTCAGCATTTTTTGTCTTAATTATATGCAGACAATTTTATAATTGCCTAGTTTTAAGCCTTGCCGATGAACATTAAATTACATTGTAACTTATCTAATGTGGTGTACCTGCCATTGTGAATATTATATATATTTTTTTCGATAAATAAATATGCTTGTGAATGCATTTCTATGCTGTTTGACATATCAGCTTCCTGAAGGTATATTATATCACATCATGGGTGACAAGAACGCTTCCAAGCGCGGTGCGCAAAGTTTAAATAATTCGTTGTCAAATACGCCCAATAAACCAGTTCGTTCGAAAATACCAAAACCGAACGACTTTAAGGAAGGAAAGAAGGAAGAAAATAGCACTGAAATAGAGGCTATGTTCCAACATATCATGGACAAGCTTGGTAAGCTTGACGTCATAGACAGTCGTGTTCAGTCTGTAGAGCACGAGCTAAAAGAGATGAAAAAATCACTCGATTTTGTACACGAAGAGGTCGAAGACCTAAAGAAAGAAAATGCTAAATTGAAGAAGTCGGATGGAGCGCAAGAAAGGTTGGCGATGAGAGAAAAGCAGAGGCCTCGCTCAAGAAAATTACAAGGGGGTAAAAACCTTCTCATCATTTTATAATCGTCGAAGAAAAAGAAGCAGGAAAATACAACACAATTAATTCACAGTATTCTCGAAAGTCATCTTGAGAATACAAGACGCAATGTTGATTAAGCTAGATCGAAGTCACAGAATGGGAAAGAAACAGCAAGGAAAAACACGTGCCATTGTGGCAAAGTTTATTATTTCCCAGACAAAGTGCGGGTTTTAGCCATCGCCAAAAAATTGAAAGATACTGGAATAGCAATCTCGGAGCAGTTCCCGGAGGAGATTGTCAACATCAGAAAGAAGCTCATGCCAGTATTTAAGAAGGCAAGGGCAGAAGGTAAAAAAGTGAAGATGGTGAGAGAGAAATTATGATAAATATGGACTTTAGTACATCTTTACCGGATCAACACAGAAAATAGAAGCTCAACATCAAATTAAATCAGAGTGATATGGATAGACTAAGCCAATTAAAATTCCTAATTTATATTGCGCTATCAATAATATAAATCTGACACATCCTTCAATACAAATACTATAAATTGCGATTATTACTTACCAAATGAATTCAAAAATAAAACAAAACATGTAATTGGAGAAGAAAAATTCTCGTTAATACATTTAAACATAAGAAGCATAGCAAACAAATTTGACTCCTTTAAAAATTTGATTGATACTTTAGGTATACCTTTCCAGATAATAGGTCTAACCGAGACATGGCTGAATGAAAATAACCTGGATTGTTTTTCCTTGAAAGGTTATGAGTACATCGGTTCTAACAGACCAAAAAAACGGGGCGGTGGTGTTGGTATATATGTTACAAAACAACTTAAGTATAAAAGTCGAATTGATCTGACAAGGAACCTTGAAGATATAATTGAAACAAAGTTCATTGAAGTAACAAACAATAATGGCAAAAATTTCATCATTGGGGTAATTTATAGACCCCCAAATAGTAATTTTGACACATTTAAAAACACAATGAATACAATTCTAGAAAAGATTGACAGAGAGAATAAGATTTGTTATCTAATGGGAGACTTTAACATTGACCTTTTCAAATCAGAATCTTGTGATTATGCAAATCAATTTATTGAACAATTATTTACCTCTTCATTTTTACCTCTAATTACTAAAGCAACTAGAATTACTTATCATACTGCCACGTTAATTGACAATATCTTCACAAATAATATAGAAGAATTTGATAACAGTATGAATGGTATTATTTTTAGCGATATCTCAGACCACTTACCAATAGTACATATGTTAAATACAAGCATATTGAAAAAAAGCACAAAGGAAAATACAAATACTGTAACATATCAAAGAATATTCAATAAAGCAAACATAGAAACTTTTACAAAAGCAATCAAAGACCTTTCCTGGAATAAAATATTAAATGAAACGAATGACCCTGAAAAGGCATATAATCAATTTTTTAAATCGTTTACAGATGTATATGAAGCAATTTTTCCATTAAAAATACAAAAACCCGATATAAAAATAAATAAAACCAAAAGTCCGTGGATAACAAACTGTATACTGAAATCTGTTAAAACGAAAAACAAGCTATATAAAGCCTTTCTTTTGAATCCAAGTAATAAAAATGAACAAACATACAAAAAATATAAAAATAAATTAAACCATATTATAAAAATAGCAAAGAAAACCCATTACGAAGAGCAGTTAATTAAACACAAACAAAATTCAAGAATGATCTGGAAAACCCTTAATGAACTACTTAACAAAAATAAAAGAAATACCAAAATATCAAAAACCTTTGTTGAAAGCAGCTCATTAAATATAATAGATGATCCAAAAAGAATTGCAAATAATTTTAATGACTACTTTATTAACATCGGGCCGAATCTAGCAAATAAAATCAAACAGAATGATAATAATAGTTTTCATAAATATCTTACAGGTAATCATCAATCTAGTTTCTTTCTTAATCCTATCACGGAACATGAGCTTGAAACAGAACTGAAAAAAATGAAGTCAAACAAAAGTTTTGGATATGATGGAATTAGTACTAACATTGCCAAAATAATTGCTAAAGAAATATCTAAGCCACTAGCACACATTTTTAACCTAACATTTACATTTGGAAGTATTCCAGACAAATTAAAAGTTGCTTTAGTTACTCCAATATTTAAGGGAAATGATGACAATAAATTTGAGAACTACAGACCAATATCTGTGCTTAATTGTTTTTCTAAATTACTAGAAAAACTTATGATTAAAAGATTAACAAAGTTTATTGATAAAAACAACATATTATCAAAACACCAATATGGATTCAGAAAAAACAGATCAACAGAACTGGCTATACTTGACTTTGTTAACAAAATAACTAAAGCAATTGATGAAGGAAAATTCACAATTGGTATTTTCCTTGATTTATCTAAGGCCTTTGATACGATTAATCACAAGATTCTGATGAGCAAACTAGAACATTATGGTATAAGAGGAGTAGCCAAAAATTGGTTCGAAAATTATTTACAGAATAGAAAACAAATTGTAAAATATAATGGGATACAGTCTGACGAAATGACTATCAAAAGTGGGGTTCCTCAGGGGTCAGTATTAGGTCCTTTATTATTTCTTTTATATATAAATGATATACAAAGTTGCAGTGAACTAATTTCAATTATATTATTCGCGGATGACACAAATATACTTTATAGTCACTCTTGTCTTAAAACTTTAAATGAAATTATTCAAATTGAAATTAACAAAATTTCTGACTGGCTAAGTGTCAACAAACTTTCTATCAATATTACAAAAACCAAATTTGTTCTTTTTAGATCAAAAAATAAAAAATCTAAACACAATGTTAAAATTTCTTTAAATAATGAGGCCATAAAACAAGCCAAGAGTATCACATTTTTAGGAATTGTTATTGATGAATTTTTAACATGGTGTTATCATCTAGATTTAATAGCAAAGAAAATGATCAGATGTGCAGCTATTATTTCCAGAATTCGGCATTTTACAAACTTAAATTCTCTAAAACTCATTTACTACGCATTGGTCTATCCATATCTAATCTATGGTAACCTCATTTGGGGTAATACGTACAAATCTCGTATTTCAAAGTTAATGAACATTCAAAAAAAAATTGTAAGATTAATGACTTTTAAGAATTATACTAATCACACTGAACCCATTTTTTTAGAATTGCAAATACTTAACATATACACAATAAATGATTATTTAACAAGTATTTTTATGTTCAGGTATTTCAATCTTCAAAATTTACCAGAAACATTCACAAATTATTTTTCTACCAATAAGGAAATCCATAACTACAATACACGAAACTCATCATTATTACACAAAAAGTGTAGCAGAACAAATTATACAAAACAAACTCTAACTAATAAGGGAATTGATATATGGAATAATCTTCCTTCGAAATATAAAGAAAATAGATCGTATGGGTCTTTCAAGAAAACAATGAAAAATTTCTATCTGCATTTAAAAACAACAAATTAACATCCTTTTCACTAGCTGTAAATTAACTATATGTATATATATATATACTATATTATTCCTTGTTAACAAACTTACTTTTCTCCATTTCTATTGTAAAATTTTAAACATAGCTCATCATTATATCTTAGTACTTGTTACTATTCTCCTTTTTTTTCCAATCCTTACTACAATGAAAAACACTCGAACTGGCACCTTATATATGTTATAGTTATTTAATTTGAATTTGTATCTAGGGACCTTAAATAAAAGCCTTTTGGTTTCTAGTAGGTTCCTAGCCCTAAAAATTTGTAAATAATGTATTTTGTTAAATGTTATATTTTGGGCGAAATTAAATAAAAAAAAAAATAAAGGTCACGTGACGAGAGACTGTAGATCGAAGAAAAAATGCGAGAAAAATGGATGCACAAGACTTCATCATCAACTGTTACACGGAGAGCCTGGAACAATGAGCGGTATATCATCAGTGCTGGACAAGGGAAGCATTCTACCAGTTGTTAGAGTTTGTTTCAGAGCACCAAACGGTCGAACACGCGAAGGAAATGTCCTCATCGACAGCGGCGCAGGTACCACGGTAATTCGAAAGGATTTTGCTCGATCACTTGGTCTGCAAGGCAAACGAGAAAAAATTGATCTAGCTGTTGTTGGAGGAGAAAGAGTTGAACAACCCCAAAGCAGAAGAGTGACCTTCTCAATCTCAGCACTCAACGGAGCAGAAGAGCACAGAATAGAAGCCCACGAGATCGAGAAAACCGTTTTAAGTGTCCCACGTTTGGATCGTCCGTGGTTGAAATCATTTGCACACCTTCGAGACATCGACTTCTCGCATAAAGCTGGTCCAATTGATCTTATATTAGGCGTCCAGTTCAGTCATTTGCACGCAGAAGATGAAGTACGTCAAGGCCGTCAATTTGAGCCTGTTGGGAAAAGAACGAAGCTAGGATGGTTTGTCATCGGTTCTGATAGTTCACAGAAAACGTCCAAAGTATGTTCAATAAGTTTTGTCCAACCCGTCAACCTAGAGAAATTCTACGAGTTTGAAACCCTCGGGATCCAAGCCCCCCAATGTCATTGTCCACAGATAGCTATGTCACCTGACGACAGAAGAGCCATCGAGTTAATGGAGAACTCCTGTAAGCAGCAAGGAGGGAGATATATCATTGGACTTCCTTGGAAGAAAGATAAAAATCTTTTGCCTAACAATTATTCACTCGCTGAGAAAAGATTGTTTTCGCTGGAAAGAAGCCTGAAAAGAAACGATGTTAAGGCTAGTCTGTACAACCAAGTCATGAATGAGTACGAAAGAAACGGTTGGTCGCGTCAGTTGTCACAAGAAGAAGTAGAAGCCAAAGATAAACCAATATATTACCTGCCTCATCACGGAGTTTATCGACCCGAGAAGAAAAGTACGCCCTTGAGAGTAGTATTCGACCCTGCCTGCCAATATCAAGGAGTATCATTGAATTCGTTTCTCTACAAAGGTCCTTGTCTTATTGGAAATCTACTTGGAGTGTTATTGCGCTTTAGAGAAGATCTTGTTGGCCTCGTTGGCGATATATCGAAGATGTATTTGCAGATTTGCCTGCCCGAAGAAGACACGCTTGTCCACCGATACTTATGGAGAGATTTAGATGAAAGTCGAGACCCAACAGTTTACGCACTCCAAAGAGTCACATTCGGAGATAAACCATCGCCGGACATGGCAAGTTACGTTATGATCAAGATCGCGAATGAAAATGAGTCCCAATGTCCTCGAGCTGCCGTGATTCTCAAACGTGATCGCTACATGGATGATCTTATTCATTCGACAAGCACGCAGGAAGAAGCAGAAAAATCCAAAGGCGAAGTCGACGACGTGTTAGCTACGGGGAGTTTTAAGATAAAGGAATGGTTTGTTTCGTCGCCCGTTCAAGAAATGCAAGCTGAGAACGTTTCCAGTCCTGAAGAAGAAAATCCTGATTTCAAAGATAACGTGATAGGTGTAAATAGTGAATGTACAACGACAAAGAATATCAACCTAGACGGCGAAGAAGGAATCAAAACCTTAGGAGTCAATTGGAATCCACAGACCGACAAATTCAGTTTCTCAGTAAAGGAAATAAAGATAGAAACGTTAACGAAGAGAACAGTTCTGTCAAGGATTTCACGTTTGTTTGATCCACTTGGATTGGCTTCTGTAGTAACTATCAAAGCAAGAGTTGCTCTCCA